TTTATTTTTATTTTTCTTAAATCCTATGTCCAACTCTCATCCAATGTTGGTACCTATATTGGACACATAGATCTAATGTGTGGCGGCAGTAGTTAACTCGAGTGTAGAATCCGAGGAACAACTGTTTTAATAACAGCCTTTGCTGAATACGATAAAGAATGTTATTGGATTATTTTAACGTAACAGCTGCATGATTTCTTGTGATATTAATGATGTGAACTAACACTGTCCATGTATTTCAGTGTCTAATAAAACTGAATATTTTGTGATAAGCAATCGTCACTGACCCAATACCTGTTTTATTACTATTATTATTTAAACATAGTTCAAAAGCAAACGCGTTTACTTGCAGGACACCGAATGAACTGGAAACAGTACCACAGACTGGAAGACATCCATGGGTTCCTGGACTACCTGGCCAAAACGTATCCTGCTCTAGTCAGCGTTAAGACTATTGGAAAATCTCATGAAGGTCGAGAGCTAAAGGTAGATTTTTTAAATCTAAATATAATAGTTTTCTAGATCGCTATCCCAAACGAAACTAATAAGTATTACAAGTAAAATAAATTACAGTTATTGACGTGAAACTGATGCCCGTTTTCACCATCAATCCCTAATTTTTGACCCCTATCTAAACAAAATTCCTGTTGTGTTACCATAGGGGTCGCTTAAAAATTAGGGATTTATGGTGAAAACGGGCATGAAACAACTATCCAGCTCGAAACAGAGTAACTTGAACTATCTGTAGAAAAAATAGCTCTTGAGAGACACTAAGTTTTCACGATCACCAACCCAAATTCTGTTTTTTAACAGCTACTCCGCATATCCGACGGCAAACCAACGAACAAAGCCGTGTTCATAGACGGCGGAATCCATGCGCGTGAGTGGATCAGTCCAGCAACCGTCACTTACTTCATCAACCAGATCGCAGAGAACTTTGACGTGGAGTCCGATGACATCAAAAACATCGATTGGTAAGTCATTATAATGAGAATCGCTATGGGATGATAGCACCAGAGACATGAATCCAAAAACCACCAACAGAGAAATTCGAAACTAAGCGCGATTTTGGAAACTAATAGGGCTTACTCCAACTCTTGTGTAGCCAGGATCTACAACTTTAACGCCCACAGGGCTAAGTTAGTCGCAGATCATTAGACCGGCAAGAATCAAATTAAAATGAGAGTAATTCAAAACTCACCAATTAAAATCATATTCATGAATTCGAACCTTGAAAAGACCAAGAGTTAAGTAATACATGTTTCCAGGTATTTCCTGCCAGTTCTGAACCCAGATGGTTACGAATTCACACACGTGGGAGACCGTCTCTGGCGTAAGAACAGAAGAAGTTCCTACGGAGTACGACAATGTTCCGGAGTAGATCTCAACAGAAACTTCGGGTAAGGATGTCAGACATAAGTAGTTTCGTTTCAGCCAAATGACGTCCACTGCTGGACAAAGGCCTCCCCCAAGGTTTTCCACAATGAACGGTCCTGCGCTGCCCGCATCCAGGCTCTTCCCGCGACCTTTACCAGATCGTCGGTCCACCTAGTAGGAGGCCTGCCCACGCTACGTTTTCCAGCCCGTGGTCGCCACTCGAGAACTTTCCTGCCCCAACGGCTATCGTCTCTACGAGCTATGCCCACTGCCACTTGATTTTAGCAATTCTGCGAGCTATGTCGGTTACTTTGGTTCTCAGACATAAGTAGTAAATCAAGTAAAGTGGTCGAGTTAACTGCGCACATGGAGGCCGTGACGTCACATCAACACTAAGTAGTACGGGACGAGGCGAATGCGGGGAGATGTGCAGTAGGCCTAAGATGCGCGCCGTGATAACTTTTATCGACGTCAAAATGTATGGACAAAATCGATAAAATGGCGTGATAAACACTTATCGCGACGCGCATCCTAGGCCTACAGGTGAGTACAAATACAAATACAAATAAGTTTATTGTGCATAATGTTACAATTTGTACAAACCGAAAAATAGTTAAATAACTAAATGTATCTCTTATTTAACTTAAAACCAATTTTAAAGCAATACAATTTTATTAGAAAAATGTAGGTAGGTACAGAAACACAATCCTTTACCTTCCGTACTAGTACAAGACTGTGTTACGGCAAGGTAATGATAAAATCGTCCTGGGCATAAGGTACATTTTGCAATGCGTGCATTTGAGTTTAACGCTGGCGTTAAATATTGCTAACGGTAGAATTAAAAACATTCGGGTGAGGTGAACAACTTTGCACAGTATACGCAAGGCGTAAAGATAAAACAAATAAACAGAAACTTAAACTATTATGAGTCAATCTATTTTTAGGCTAATGAGAGCAGGACATTTTATTATTTAGGTAATAAAATGTTGATACATGTATATTGTTTTACTTTACTATTATGGTTTTTAGCATTTTTGCAGAAAGATGCCAAAAGTTCAGTTAATAATGTTGTTTATTTAAATTTATCTACATATCTACTTCATTTGTCAAAAAAAATAAAATATAATAAATAGATATTTTTATGTCTACAAATATGATAAATGCGAAAGGATTTTTGTCACTCTTCCACGCAAAAAACCACTATACGGAACGGAACTACTGAACGGATTTTGATAAAACTCCACAGTGTTATCTATACTAATATTATAAAGAGTATATATTTTTGTATGTTTGTAATGAATAGGCTCAAAAACCACTGAACGGATCTTGATGAAACTTCACAGCACCATTGATTATAATCCAGAATAACATATAGGCTACAATTTATGACGAAGGAAGAGTCGCGTTCCAGTGTGGTGCGCAGTTAATTTGATAGGGTTGTACTAAGCACAGAATCGTTCACTTTTCACGGCGTCGTTAAATTAATTTAAGGTTTAATTTAATTAAATTTTGCCTTCTTTTCGAACTAGATATCGTTGGGGCGGCAAAGGCACTTCGAACAACCAATGCAGCGAGATATACCGAGGACCGCGCGCCTTCTCCGAACCTGAATCAAAGGCTATTTCCGTAAATATCTTTATCTATTAAAATATTTGTTTACTTCATCAAAGCACAAATTAATTGCGTATTTTATAAAAATTGCCTTGCACTTTATCAATGAGTAGTTAGTTAGCTAGTTGGGTTTTCCCAATACTGATCATAACAATCAAAAAGTTTAATTACAATAAAATTAATGATTACAACTAACTAGCACTTGACAAAACAATTGTTATCGTACTTACTGTACATACTCATCAGAGGAAAAATAATGAGTAACCTACTAAACAGATTTTTAATGAAAATTGAGTAACTTCAAAAGTTCAAATACAAATATTATTGAACACATTGAATTTATTTTTTTCCAGGATTTCTTCAAGAGCTCTGCTGCCAATTTCACTGCATACCTGACATACCACAGCTATGGCCAGTACCTCCTGTACCCATGGGGTTACGACAATGTTGTGCCCCCAGACTACAAACAACTGGATGTCCTTGGCCAGAAGATGGCAGCAGTAAGTAGAATCCCATCAAAAACAATACTTGTCAAAAAAACCAAGTCTCGCAACTCAGTTGTTCTACGGTAAAAAGTTGTGAGATCCATGTAATACCAAGTCCAGGCCAGGAAATCTTTAACGTTTTACATAAATTATTGACTTGGCCATCGCACTAAATAATTTAATTTACACGTGTTTTCATGCGATGGCCAAGTCAATATATTTATGTAAAACGTTAAAGATTTCCTGGCCTGGACTTGGTATTACATGGATCTCACAACTTTTTACCGTAGAACAACTGAGTTGCGAGACTTGGTTTTTTTGACAAGTATTGTTTTTGATGGGATCTCATTTCTTTTTGTATTTTGTAGACAGCAGTTATGTATCTAGAAAACTGGACCGAAATTGAAAAATTTTACTCGACTTGGCGGTTGCACTACCGTGCCCCCAAATATTTTAGTTTTTCCTTGATTCATACACCAAACACTACTTATATTCCAAATTTGAAGCTTCTAGGTCTGCTAGAAGTGCCTTAGAGTTTTGATGATCGGTGAGTCAGTGAGTCAGTCAGTGAGTGACAAAATTAAGTAACTTTGACCCGTTATAATTCTTAAACTACTGGTTCAAATTGAATGAAATTTTAAATATACCGTGTCTTTACAATGCCTGCATAGCTAATGAAAATTCAGCCTTCTAGTTTTATCCACAACGAAGTTACAGGCGGTCGAAAATGGCCTGAATTGGCACTGCCGTGCCACACGTGTCACACTACAGGAGAAGGACAGGAGACTATCACAACAAGTCCTATCTTTGTTAGTTTTTTTTTTTAAATAGCTTTTTTTATGCTAGACAAGGCAGGTATTTAACCACAATCGCACCTGGTGTTAAGTGAGATGCAGTCTAACCAAGTTAAAAATTAAAACCAGCTGTAACCTGTTAAAAGTACCAATCCAATACAAAAAGTTGATGCCCTTTATTTTAATTACCTCTCAAAATATCTCTTTAAATTTTTTTTTTTTTTTTTTTATCCACAACGAGGAAGCTCTTGGCCTTTATCAAGTATTTTTTCTTTATCAAGTATTGCTTAAATTCCTTAATTATCTGTCTGTAGGTCATTGAAAGCACCAGCGGCTACAAATACACAGTAGGAGCGTCAAGCAATACCCTGTATCCGGCCGCAGGAGGGTCGGACGACTGGGCCAAAGCACAGGGAATCAAGTACTCGTACACCATTGAACTCTCAGACGCAGGACGCTACGGCTTTGTATTACCCACCACTTATATCGAACCAGTGGCCAAGGGCTCCTTAGCAGCACTAAGAGTTTTGGCCGCACAAGTTAATAAAGAATAATTACACTACATGCCATTAAGTTAATAAATTAGGATAAGTAAGTTATTTTAGAGTACTCAACATAAAAGCAATAAATGATTAATGTATGGAAAATGTTGCATTTTAATTCACAATTAAAATAATTCCTACTTAGTATGTGAAGAGTTCAAAGAGAGATCAGAAAGTAGGTGGGTACTAACCTTATGTGCCAAGTTACAATTTTGATCTTGGTTTTCTATGGGTTTGCTAACTTTGATTTGGGGTATGACAACCGAATTGGATACACTGCCTGGGATACTGTTGCCGGTCACATCAGCGACAGGACTACTTTTCAATAAGTTTTCCGTCTCTAGAGCAATATCTTCTGCTCTCTTCAAAATCAACTCCACATCATCCATATCCTCCTCTGCCATTTTATTATTATTCCCTATTCCACCAGACAGTTTGTTTATCTCAGTAAATATCATTTTTATCTCTTCATCACTGTCTTTGTACGCTTCACAAGTCTTTTCGAGGTTGAGAAATTCTTTTGTAGAAATACTGTTTTCATTAGATGCTAATTCAACCAGGTCTACCATGGCGAATTTAGACATGTTGTTAATAAATTAAAATAACAACAAATTGTCTTCAATGCTACTTTTCTTTTTTATTAAACTTCATTCATGTTATTTTTCCCCAATTCTTTCAAAGCGATCAAACATTTAATTTTTCGTTGCCAGGCAACGAACGACTACGATTTTGACATTTGGGGCATTCCATGCGAAGCGGGCAGGTAAAAAAAGTCGATGTTTCCGATTTCAGTAATATTTGAGTATGTTCTACCTATACATATTATTGATACGTGTACCAAATATTTTTGTAATATAATGACTAGTTTAAGAGTTATGGGTCTTCGAAGTTTTCGACAACCGGTTGGCATGCAGTACTTCAAAGCTGATTATGGAGTCATAAAATTATATATTAAAATAATTAAACCACGGGATTTATTACTTCATTTACAGTGCTTTTTAACTGTATTTTTGGAAACGAAAAAAAAATTATTTTTTCCTAAAAAAAATGCAAATTAATTTTTTTTCCTCGATTTTCACAAAGTTCGACCCTTTCGATTTTTTTAATTTTTTTGATTTAAATAGCTAATATTGTGTAGAACATTCATGCCAACTTTCAAAGTGGGCGTGGAAGTGGATTCGGAGCTAGACTGAAAATACTGCCGAAGGGTGGCGTCCAGCGCCGCGCTAGATTATTCGTTAATTAAAACAAAGGATAAAGTTGATGTTTTTATAAATGTGGGTCCCAAAACACAAACTTTTGGAGTACGGACATGCCTAGGGAATGACGTTTTGGGTCATTCAAAAGGAATTTAAGATGTTTTAAAAATAGTTTAAAAAAATATAAATGGGTGATGAATAAAGCACATTGCGAGCTGTTATTTAACAATTTTGGAATTAAATATTAACAAATATTTCATGTGAAATGTGGCGCGGACTAAGAGTTGACATATTTTTGTGGAATGACCCAGATGTAGTACCTACCTCATAGTGAAAGTCATGTATACTTTAGTGTAATATGATTCTACCACTATTGTTAATATTGGGTAACTTGTGATATAAATTATTTTTAATTTTTTGCTATTGATATCGTAGTCTTTCTGCTAAGTATAATTATTTTGCAGAAACATTGCATTTTATTATTTCTATGAAAATTAGTACTGAAGAATACGATTACTCTATCTCTAATTATGACAACTACGAAGAGATTGCTAACTACACCGGCGCTCAAGTACTTAACGTAAAATTGCGTGGAGAAACTGATCTATTATTCATCAACAACCTTGTGGATAGAGAAGGTAAGATAATTCGATGGCTCCTACGTATAAAGGCGAAACTGCCGCTTACGCCTTTTTCCAATTATTTAAGAAATGATTTCATTTTGCTCTAATCTATAACGTCAGTAAGAAAAAAAAAATTTTTTTCCATTAGATACAAAATAAAATTGTAGGCAAATAGGCGTATGTGCAAAATTACGCCACGTATAAAGCCCAATCATACGATTCGTCAATCTATACGAGTAGTTGCTTACATAAATATATATTTTTTATAATCCAAATCTTAAATAAAGCCATGAAAATATATAGCAAATTGTTTTATTTATAAATTTTGACACATTATATAGTTATTTAATTTTTAGCGTTAAGAGTCGCATCTCAAACTAATTTGAAAATTATAAATAACTTGAAAAAATCGAACTGCCTAAAGGCATTGTGGGTTAATTCCCGCCTTAGGCAGTTCGATTTTTTCAAGTTATTTATAATTTTTAAAAATATGACACATTATGTTAAAAGACCTAACTAAATCTCGAGCACAGTATATGGGCGTATTTGCGTTAAAACGTAATAACGATACATTAAACAACTTTTTCTAACTGATTTATTATTAATATAGCACATGATAACAATTAAAATAATTACATGCATAAATAAAGAGAGTAATCGCTTAAAATATTATATTTACGTTGTCATTTAAGTCTCTTTACGTTGAACAATATAAATTAAATTATAGAAATGTGACGACGTAAAAGGGCAATGCGTAAAATCTCAAAATATATAAGAAAAATATAAAAAATTATAACAGCAGTAGCAAAAGCATTACATGTTAAGGCTAAATGTGAAATTTCATTAAATTCGTTTAAGTAGGTCAGAAGATATGACCCAAAAATATGGTTCTGGCCACTAAAATGGCTCTCCTGTAAAATTTACTTTTTTCACTTACGCCAGTATACGTAGGAGCCATCGAATTAAAACATATTATATTGAATTTAAGAGTCTTAAATCATTAAGTAAAATAAAGTGGTGAAAGGTTATGCCTTTGGGTTATGCGTAAGACACACCACCATGGTGTGCGCCTCAAAATAAATACATATATTATTATTACATAGAAAACACCCAGACCCGTCACAGAAATTTAAATTAATCATTTCAATTTCTGCCCGGCCGGGAATCGAACCTGGGACCTCTCGGAATAGTAGTCCGTTCAACCACTACACCAAACGGCCGACAAAACTAAATTAATTACCAAATTAATAATCATTTGATATTATATTATAGGGATAAAATTATGGAAGTTAACATCAAGTTTTGCTCAACTCTTAACATGGTTAAAATCCAGGCGTAAAATTAAACGACTTTTAAGATCTAGATCACTTAATTATACAATCCTAGTCAAAGATGTACAAAAAAGAATAGATGACGAGCAAACTGAGATAGATATACTGAATGATGCCAGTCTAAGATTCGGTAAATATATCAAGAGCTTTCTGTAAGTAAGCTAATTTATACCTACTTCAAAAATATCTGTCTGAATTTTCTAGGTCTCGCTTGTCTAAGGATCAATATAAAGTGAATAAATTCTTCTCGTTCGTTCGTTCGTTCGTTTCAGCCAATTAATGACGTCCACTGTTGGACAAAGGCCTCCCCCAAGGTTTTCCACAATGAACGGTTCTGCGCTGCCCGCATCCAGGCTCTTCCCGTGACCTTTACCAGATCGTCGGTCCACATAGTAGGAGGCCTGCCCACGCTACATCTTCTAGCCCGTGGTCGCCAATCGAGAACTTTTCTACCCCAACGGCCATCGACTCTGCGAGCTATATGTGCCCTGCTCACTGCAACTTGATTTTAGCTATTCTGCGAACTATATCGGTCAAACTCTTCCCATTCTTAGAAAACAATTATAACGTTGCCTTTTTTAATTGGCCAGAATCTGCACTAAGGTCAATATTTTTCTTCAGTTAAAAGCACTTGGAAGAGGCCTTTGTCCAGCTGGTTTGTCATTTGGGGGAAATGAATGCACTTCCGATGTCTTGTTTGTGTTTTAGATCATAACCGCCTCTGTGGTCTAGTGGTAAGACCACCTGCTTCAGATGCAGAGGTCCCGGGTTCGATTCCCAGTGGGGGCAGATTTTTCTGTTCGGTTTGGTTGGTGGTAGGGCTTGTTCTAAGTCCGCCTGGCTAGCTACCACCATCTTACCTAAGTCTGTCGCCATAACAACAATGTTAACAGCATTCGTGGCATTGTTGTGTTCCGGCAGTTAGAGGTAAGATAGCCAGTTCCTCCGTGGTTGAGGATTCCGGGTGAAGCTCGCTTCCACCTTCGGCCTGATCGTCACTTACCATCAGGTGAGATACAGGCCAAGAGCTTCCTCGTTGGGGATAAAAAAAAAAAAAAAAAAAAGATCAGAAAATGGATTGGAACCGTTACCACAAATACGAGGATATCATTGCTTTCCTTAATTATTTGAGTATATCATATCCAAATATAACAGAAGTTAAAGTTCTTGGAAAGTCTCATGAAGAACGTGAAATAAGGGTAATAAAATATGCAGTAAAATGTATTTATGTTCACCCTGCTTGATTGTGTTGTGATAGTATTCAAAACAAAACATTATGTTTGCAGTTATTTCGTTTATCTAATGGAAATTCTTCTAACAAAGCAGTCTTTATAGAAAGTGGAATACATGCCCGAGAATGGATAAGTGTAGCTACAGTAACTTATATAATTAATGAATTGACAACTCATTTTGACGATGAATCTGATGATATTAGGAACATTGATTGGTATGTATAAATAATATTAAAATTGCCATTATTGCGTAAAATAAATAGGTACCTACTTAATGTATTACATTTGTTGTGCTATGTTGTGAATTGTCTCAGGTATTTCGTTCCAATAATAAATCCAGATGGTTATTATCACACTCATAAGTCTACAGGTGGTGATCGCCTTTGGAGGAAAAATAGGAGGCACACTACAGGAAGTTGCTTTGGTGTAGACCTTAATAGAAATTTTGGGTAAGTAAGGCCAGTTAACTGTTAATCTCCTTTTAAGGGTTCCGTAGTCCTGACAAGGGGTTCCTTGTAGTTATGTCCGTCTGTCTATCTGTCCGTCCGAGGTTTTGCTTGAAAACTTTTGGCAATAGAGAGCTTAAATCCTTAGAAGAAAATATTAAAAGTGACTTTAGAATGAAGTAATTGCTTGCTTCTGAAATATTATATCAAATTCAAATTCAATTTTTTTTATTGCTTATTAAGTGTGTTTCAACCACGGAACCCTACACTGCGCGTGGCACGATGATGTGTAATGTATGTTACATACCAAAATTATATTTAATTTTAGTTATGGATGGATTACAAAGAAAAATCACGGAATTGACAATTGCAAAGAAGATTATGCAGGACCTCATGCTTTTTCAGAAGCTGAAACTATAGCTATACATGTGAGATTGTCGTCAGTATATCCATCAAGATAATAATAAGTACCATGTACTTTCATAGGACCACAATAACTATTAATTTTGATTTACATTTATTTTTTCAGGATTTTATATTGAATTCAGCCATAAATTTTACGGCATACCTCTCATACCATAGCTACGGGCAATTTATTTTATACCCTTACGGATATAATCAAACTAATATCGATAATTATAAGGAATTGCATGACATTGCTGAGGGAATGGCTAAGGTAAATAAAAAATAGAGGTACATACACCCTGCAGTACACCTTTATATTGCCAACAATAAAAAAATATAGTTCGTTCGTCGTTCGTTTCAGCCAAATGACGTCCACTGCTGGACAAAGGCCTCCTCTAAGGTTTTCCACAATGCACGGTCCTGCGCTGCCCGCATCCAGGCTCTTCCCGCGACCTTTATCAGATCGTCAGTCCACCTAGTAGTAAAAAAAATGGTTTAATAAAAATAATCTTAATGTTAGCAACAAATAGAAAATATAAATTATTTCGCAGGTGTACAAGGCAGTAGGGTATCGATATCATGTAGGAAATTCAGCAAAAATGTTGTACCCTGCATCTGGACTCTCAAACGATTGGGCCGCAAGCATCGGTATTGAACATCCATTTGTAATTGAATTAAGTGATACAGGTTTTAATGGCTTTCTTTTACCATCAAAATATATTATCAAAGTTGCCAATAGCTCGCTCGCTGCATTAAAGGAATTAGCTGCATACATAATCAATAAATAGCCTTAAATATTTTGATTTACTTTTATTTCGATTTTAGAATAACCCCCTAGGTGGATGATGGTGCTACGATTTTTTAAAGGTAGGTAAACTATCTTGTCTCCATTAATTTTGTGAACAAAGTTTTATTCGGTTTTTATCTATTAAAACCGGTTTACAAATTATTCATTAAAAATTAAATGGCAATACCGTCACAAAAATTAATTAAACGTCATTATTTTTGCAACTAAGGATGCGAAAATTATCAAATTGAGTGATCAAAAATATATCGATATGATTTCTGAAAACTAGCTTTTGCTCACGGCTTTACTAGCGTGAAATTTAGTTTGTCAGAGAACGTCATAAATTATAGCGTGTTACACTTGTTTTTGCGTGAAAGAGTAACAAATATAATCCAGACATCTAAACATCCATACAAACTTTCGCATTTATAATATTTAGTTAGTTAGGATTATGAAGACGTTACGGTTATTTAGGAAGTTATGAAGTTGGGATAAATAAAATATTAGTAGTCGCATTAATTTGTAATAATATGTAGAATAGTAGGAAGAATGGTAAGATTATTAGGATAGTAGGATAATTTTGATTTAATGACAAAAGCTATAAGAATAAAATATAGGTACTAAAGTACGGCCAACTAGCAGCGATTCAAAAAATCGATACTACTATTGTCTCTTCCCATCTTATGCATTTGTCATAATGTCTCGTTCTCCCGCCAAAATAATTATTTCAAAGTCAAGACGGGTTCGTTAACATTAATTGGACATCCATTTTAGTATAATAATAGACCATAGTTGTTGCAATTACGAGGGCGAATTTGTTACTTGTCGGTTCTTATTTTATTATTCCAATATATTTAAGTCTCTATGAAAAAGGGTTAGGCCTGTTGCCATACTCTGGACACATTGTGAGGCAGAAATTTTATTATTATTCTCATTATTTAATTCAAAATAACAAAAACAAAATTCAATAAATCATCTATTTTTATGGTTTGGCAGATATTTTTTAAAACTGTATTGTCTACAAAAATATGTAATAAGTAAAAAATAAAAAGTTATGCACTTCTGACGCTATTCTTAATGACCATGACGTCATTGGGTTTGTTTATATTTGGATGACTATTAACATGCGGTGAAGCATAAGATAGCGAATAATACACATAAAAAAGAAAATAGTCGTTATTATCAGCATAGAGCAAAGTAATAAACTAACCCCCTTACTAATAAAAAGTTACACAGTTGTTCAACAGTGTTTTAAAATGACTTTTCCATACTAAACGTCACTTTACAACACTGTTCAACGACGTAAGTGTAAGTTTTATTAGTAAGGGGGTAAGAGTTTTGTATTAATATTGTGATCAGTGGTGCGATTGTCTAAGGCAATCGTATTCATTTGACAGTTCATAACGTACGTTATGATGTGTCAAACGGCTAATTCTAATTGTGTAAGGAGTTCATAAAACGATAACGATATGTTAACGATTTGATCGTAATTTTATACGATGAGTGAATGATGAATATGATTTTGACAGAAAATTCGAATTGTCTAAGTTTCATGAGCCCCAGTGTTGCCAGAAGGTTACTTTTGTAACCTTTTTGGTTACTTTTGAACTGCTGTGGTTACTTTTAGGTTACACTAATGAAAAGGTTACTTTTAGGTGATTTTTCAGAAATTGTAGAATTAACTTTACAGGTTATTCAGTAAAAAATATTAATAGTGACAATTTAAAAATTATGTCATAAAGTGCATTAAAACTCGAATTTGATTTATTATTTGTTAAGAAAAATGAGTTTTAGCGAATGTGTAATGTTTTCGATAGTAAAACGCAAATCCATAAAACGTTTTTATNATTAAATTAAAATACGTTTGCCATGGATGCAATAAAAGTATCGATATATTTTTGATCGACATATTGTTGACATCACTATTATTTGTCAATCTATTGCTTTAGACATACTCTCTAATCTGTGATCTATTGTCAAACATTGAAATTGGGTTTGTCGTGCACAAAAATACTAAATATTTATTTATATTGGTGTTTGTGAACGATAAAAGAAAGATTTTATTAATTAGCGATGTCGGTGCCGCCACAGGCGTTTGTGAATAAGCATAAAAAGCATTTCCTTGGCATTCCAGCGCCGTTAGGTTATGTAGCTGGTGTTGGAAGAGGGTGAGTTTATTTGTCTGTTATGTTATCTTGTAGGTGTTTGTTTGTGATTTATGTAACTTTATTCTTTATTATTCATATCAGGGCTACTGGTTTCACCACCCGATCTGATATTGGCCCGGCCCGAGATGCCAACGATGTATCGTAAGTACCTACATACTTGATTTGTTTTGTATACTTTTCTAGAATTCAATCAATAAAGTGACTGTTTAATGAAAAGAAGTCAATATTTTTAATTAGTACATTAACTTTTCGATGCATAAACAAATTGGAAGGTTTATACAACAGTACTACATTACAAATTCAGTCAGATATCCAGTGGGGTAGAGACGTAGTTTAGCCTTCATTATATTACCTCATTTCTAAAATACCTCAATAATTTCTTCATTTTAAAAAGATCACCAAGATCGTATAATATTGTAAAATAACTAGATATGAAAAATAACATTTGGTAACATGTTATGTGCAAACTTACTTTATTATAGCGATGACCGCCACGCTCCACCGGCTGCCAAAAGGAAAAAAACTGAGGAAGAGGATGATGATGAAGATCTTAATGACTCCAACTACGATGAGTTCTCTGGATACAGCGGATCATTGTTCTCAAAGGTTGGCTCATTGCAAATAACTTGTTGTAAAAATGAATAAAATCAGTTCAGTCAGAATGGATTTATAATAAAATTATTGATTCAAATGAATTTTACTTTTTTAAAGATGCTATGTTTTTATTGAGGGAGGCCTATGTTCAGCAGTGGATGTCCTATGGCTGAAATGATGATGATGATGATGTTTTACTTTTTTCATGTATTTACTAATTTAATTTACTCTAACTATTTAGTAAATAAAGATGATCAACAATAAATATACAAATAAATTAAAGGCTTATGATATCCTGTGATCAATAAAGCTCCACTCCAGTTGAAATTGCCAAGTTTTTTTATAAGTTGGCTACTTCTTAAATAATAATTTAAATTTTTCAATTCAATTCAATTTTAATTTGATGCACAATTTCAGGATCCTTATGACAAAGATGACGCTGAAGCTGATGCAATTTATGAATCCATAGACAAACGCATGGATGAAAAACGAAAAGAATACAGAGAGAAGCGTCTGAAAGAAGACTTGGAAAGATATCGTCAAGAGAGGTAAAAAAGCCTTAACGTATTATATTGTTTTAATTTTCTGAAATAAAACATTTTTAACACTACCTTTTCTTGAATTTTAGGCCCAAAATCCAGCAGCAGTTTTCAGATCTTAAACGAGAGTTAAAGCAAGTATCTGAAGATGAATGGGCAGCCATCCCAGAAGTCGGAGATGCTCGCAACAGGAAACAAAGGAACCCTCGTGCTGAGAAGTTCACACCTTTACCTGACAGTGTGTTGTCAAGGAATTTAGGAGGGGAGTCTACTTCGTCCATAGATCCTGGGTCTGGTCTGGCGTCAATGATGCCTGGTGTGATGACTCCAGGAATGTTAACACCATCAGGTAATTTATGACTTAACTTTCAACATCATAAAGTAACCACAATTTTGAACATTATTGCCATGTGTTATGGTCAAAAAATTTAACTTATTATTTTCTTTTACACAGGTGATCTGGATCTCAGGAAGATCGGTCAAGCCAGAAATACACTTATGACTGTCAAATTGTCACAAGTGTCAGATTCAGTCACTGGGCAGACCGTTGTAGATCCCAAAGGCTACTTGACAGATCTACAGTCTATGATCCCTACGTATGGTGGGGATATAAACGACATCAAGAAAGCTAGATTATTGCTGAAGTCTGTAAGAGAGACTAATCCGAACCATCCGCCTGCTTGGGTAGCTAGTGCTAGATTGGAAGAAGTCACAGGTAAGGTTTTAATAACTTCTAAATTCAAGTAAGTTGGTGCCTTTTTTAAAGTGGAGTAATGATAACTTTCTTGATAAATGCCAGAGTTATTTAGAGGAAAACTTGCAATGGCTTCTATTACTAGATAGATTTTATAGGTCACTAGCTGACCCGGCGAACTTTGTTCCGCCTTAATGGCAATAAATAAGCAGACTTTTTTTAATTTCGAACGGGATAAAAAGTATCCTATGTCCTTCTCCTGGCTCTAAACTACCTCCCTGACAATTTTCAGCTAAATCGGTTCAGCCGTTCTTGAGTTATAAGCGAAGTAACTAACACGACTTTCTTTTATAGTTTTTTTTCAATGGTGTCTTATTTTTAGTTAAGGTATTTTTAGTACACAATATCGTGATTTACGATGATAAAATTTAGATGATTACCTACAATTTCTCATTTTCCTTAATCAAAGTTATCAAGTTTAATGATTCGTTCCTTCATACATTTCAGCCGAATGACGTCCACAATGAACGGTCCTGATTATTCAGTTTATTTGAATAAGTAAGTTACAGTCAATGAAGTAAAATAATTCTTGACCACTTTGTTTACTTTTACTTATCCAAAATCCAAATCGAATCAAATAAGGTAAGGGAGTATTTGACTTGTGCTAAATCTTTTTAGATGGACTGATTTTCCTGGGGGATTGCTTAAGGTTTTTGCCTCTCAGAGACAAACTTTTAGGCAGAAAATTATAATGAATTCTGTCATTTGTTTTATCTACGCTAGTTTGTCGTACTATTAATTTTCAGGGGTGTCACGACGCAATTTGGCGACAAAAACTGAATCAGCTGATTACTCAATAATGGTACCTTTCCCAGACTTTCTGACACCACTATAGTATTTATATGAGTATGTTAACATGGGCTGGTCTCGGCTCATATACCCATTTACCTAACACCCTGTATATATAGATTTTCAAACTTTCTACTTCAAGAAATTTCATATTGTAGAAGTTGTTAAATGGCAAATCAATGAGATGTTGAACATCTCTTATTATCTCTAATTAAAAGTCTTCTGCCAGCAACTGAAAAAAAGAAAAATAAAGTTCTTCAACCTTTAGTAGTCCTGACCACTTTATTATGTTTCAATTGACAGGCAAGATCCAGTCTGCCCGTAACCTAATCATGAAGGGCTGTGAAGTGAACCCAAGCAGCGAGGAGTTGTGGCTGGAAGCGGCTCGCTTGCAGCCGCCTGACACAGCTAGAGCCGTCATAGCGCACGCGGCTAGGAACCTGCCGCATAGTGTCAGGATATGGGTGAAAGCTGCTGACCTGGAACAAGAAACTAAGGTAATTTGTTTTTTTGTGTTATTACATCATGAAGGGCTGTGAAGAACCCCAGCAGTGAGGAGTTGTGGCTGGAAGCGGCTCGCTTGCAGCCGCTTGACACAGCTAGATCCGTCATAGCGCACGCGGCTAGGAACCTGCCGCATAGTGTCAGGATATGGGTGAAAGCTGCTGACCTGGAACAAGAAACTAAGGTGATTTGTTTTGCTTATGTTATTACATCATGAAGGGCTGTGAAGTGAACCCCAGCAAAGAGGAGTTGTGGCTGGAAGCGGCTCGCTTGCAGCCGCCTGACACAGCTAGAGCCGTCATAGCGCACGCGGCTAGGAACCTGCCGCATAGTGTCAGGATATAGGTGAAAGCTGCTGACCTGGAACAAGAAAGTAACGTAAGTTGTTCTTTGTGTTATTATATCATGAAGGGCTGTGAAGAACCCCAGCAGCGAGGAGTTGTGGCTGGAAGCGGCTCGCTTGCAGCCGCCTGATACTGCTAGAGCCGTCATAGCGCACGCGGGTAGGAACCTGCCGCATAGTGTCAGGATATGGGTCAAGGCAGCTGACTTGGAACAAGAAACTAAGGTAATTTCTTCTTTGTGTTATTATATCATGAAGGGCTGTGAAGTGAACCGCAGCAGCGAGGAGTTGTGGCTGGAAGCGGCTCGCTTGCAGCCGCCTGACACTGCTAGAGCCGTCATAGCGCACGCGGCTAGGAACCTTCCGCATAGTGTCAGGATATGGGTGAAAGCTGCTGACCTGGAATAAGAAACTAAGGTAGTATAGTCTTATGAGGTTTTTTCCAAGGATCGCCATCATAATCAGAGGTGGAATTGTGTAAAGCAATCGTAATCATTTGACAGTTCATAACGTACGATAAAGTCAGTTAAACAAAGCGTTTGACAGAACAATCGTACGTTATGAACTGTCAAGTGATTACGATTGCTTTACACAATTCCACCTCAGGTCATGTCATGACCTGATAATACAGACCGATAATGCAGACTACAGACTTTTAATCGCCCGATAGTTTGGTCATTAGCCTTACGTTTGGGTTGAAGATTAACCGATCGAAGACCAAGGTTATGATCGTGGATCGCTCTAATGAATATTCGCCCGTAGTGACACACATTGCGAACTGTGACTCAAAGTGACACACTGTGCGCTCAAATAATGGCGGCTGCGTAGATGAAGTAAAACGTCGTATGGCCATAACCAGAACTGCGATGGAGAAGTTAAGGAAGTTATGGAGGAATCGCAACATTACCAAAGCCACCAAAGTTAGACTTGTGCGAGCGCTTGTATTCCCCATCTTTCTTTACGCAGCAAAGACATGGACAGTACGCGACTTGGAAAAGAGGAAGATAGATGCCCTAGAGATGTGGTGCTGGGGAAAGATGCTCGGGATATCATGGACAGAGTTCCGTACCAATGTGTCAATACTCCAGGAGCTCGGTGTCACTCAGCGTTTATCAACCGTAGTACAGTCGCGCATACTGCAATACTTCGGAAATGTCTCGAGGCGAGATGACAACTCCATAGAACGACTGGTCGTCCAGGGAAAAGTCGAAGGAACCCGATCGCGGGGCAGGTCACCAATACGCTGGACCAACCAAGTGAAAGCAGCAGTGGGAAACGGCGTATGTGACTGCACCAGACAGTCTGCCAATAGAGAGAGATGAAGGGAGATCGTGCGGAGAGTTGTATCCGCCTCTACAACCGATGTGAACAACGCCTCAACGTGACCACGACCGCTCTGCCAAGAGCGTAACGAATAAGAAGAAGAAGAAGTTTGGTCGACTTCCAATTTGTATATGAAGATTCGGACGACACCAAATCCGTGTAATGTGCGTACTTTCATACTTGGTGATACTGATTAACAGCTCAAGCTAACTAAAAGTCTGTAGTCTTCAGGGTGTCTCAGTCGTCGCTGCAGGTAGGTAGACGACTCCAGGGGGAAATGGAGGATTTGACCTATAATCCCCATGGACTATAAAAGTTAAGTAACTTAACGTTAGATAAGAATTGTTATATTAATTACTAGCTGAACATTATTAATTATTTAATTTTTATCTCCAGGCAAAACGCCGCGTATTCCGCAAGGCCTTAGAACACATTCCCAACTCGGTCCGTCTCTGGAAAGCAGCCGTCGAGTTGGAGAACCCTGAAGACGCCAGGATCCTACTATCCCGAGCGGTGGAATGTTGTCCCACTAGCGTCGAGCTGTGGCTAGCCCTGGCCAGGCTGGAGAGCTATGAGAACGCAAGGAAGGTTCTCAACAAGGCCAGAGAGAACATACCCACGGATAGACAGATCTGGGTGACTGCGGCTAAGTTGGAAGAGGCTCACGGTAAGTTTATTTGTGTTGTGGTTGTAACACTGTTTATATGTTTGTGATTAATTACATGTTTGATGCATTTATTCTTTTTTCTATTTTGTTTTATTGTTATTGCAGTAACTTGGCATATAAACATCGTATTTACTATGGAGTATCCACTCATAAGAGAAGAAATTAATGACGTTTATAGCATAGATAGAAGTTTTGATTTATTGAAAATTACTCATTTTGTTATCATTTAAACATTTGTATTTTGCGATAAAACAATATTGAATTTTCTTTACAGGCAACACTCACATGGTGGAAAAGATCATAGACCGTGCGATCACGTCGCTCAGCGCAAATGGTGTGGAAATCAATCGCGAGCACTGGTTCAAAGAGGCAATGGAAGCAGAGAAATCAGGAGCGGTACACACATGCCAGGTATTAAATGTCCATTCACCTAATAATCTTCGCATATCTGTGTGCTTACCATGAGTTTACGTTAGGTGTGCTCGCTCGCGACTGCGTAATTTATGACAAATTGTACCATCGGCAACATTGTTAACTGCCCATTGCCGGTCATGTCGTCTCGTTCTATCGCAAAGAATCACCATTTCATGAGCGAGAGCAAAAACGGAATTAGATAGTTAACACTGCGGCCGTGTGTACAGCGCCCCTAGCGTCTACTTTCAAGTACTAAGATCTTCATAGGTTAGCGAGCACACCTAACGAAAATTCATGGTAAGCACACAAGTCCAAGTAAAGTAAATTAATCACAACTTCACAAGTAGCAGTTGTGGTGACTTTTTATTGTTTACTTACTTCCGTAAAAAATATAATGTGATTTAGGTTAATTTAAATAAATAAATAATCTTTATTCACAAACTAGCTTTCCGCCCGCGGCTTCGCCCGCGTGGAATTTTGTCTGTCACAGAAAAACTTTATCGCGCGCGTCCCTGTTTCAAAAACCGGGATAAAAACTATCCTATGTTCTTTCCCGGGACTCAAACTATCTCTATGCCAAATTTCATCAAAATCGGTTGCGAGGTTTAAGCGGGAAAGCGTAACAGACAGACAGACAGACAGACAGACAGACAGACAGACAGACAGAGTTACTTTCGCATTTATAATATTAGTTGGGATATAATTTAGTTCTGCTTTTCTTTGGTAATGTATCTTTAATGAGAATAATTTGGTTTCAGGCCATCATTCGTGCTGTTATCGGTCATGGTATAGAGCCCGAAGACCAGAAACACACTTGGATGGAAGATGCTGAAGCTGTAAGTAAAATTTTCCCATTTTACCTTTACGGCTCTATTTTTATTTTATGAGTAAAGATTATTACAGGGTGTTTTACTTTGTCTTCCAGTGACATGTTACTTGGTCTCCGAGTAGATTCCATATTCCATAAAAATCAGGGTTCGAAAATATCCGATATTTATTATAAATATCAAAATATCGGATATTTATGATATATATCCGATATATATCAACTTTGATATATATCAATTTTGTATGAAAGCCATAGTATTATTTTATTGTATTATTCATGAATACTATTGCATATGTGTTACATAAACATGTTTTTAATGTTTTTAAAACTTAAAATCAGACAAATAAAGCAAAAACATAAAATATTCTTTTAAATACGGCCAAATCAATTTAAAAAATAAAAATCTTATGTCAAAAAGTACAAATACAGTAACAAATTTTAAAAGTTGATATATATCATAAAAACCGGCTTGATATATATCGGATATATATCCGATATATATCTTGATATATATCCCTTGATATATATCCTCGAACCCTGATAAAAATCTCATAAATTATTTATAATTAGCGCTTAACTTAGTCGGTGCTTGAGGTATGGGAGAGGCACGGGAGGTCCACGAACGAAGTAGTGAAGTCAAACGTCGACGAGACTAGATTTGTATGCTTTGTCGCGTCATGCCTCGGCCGCACTCATCGCGATAAAATTCGGGCGATAAACTTCGTCTTCGGGCTACGGCGAATCCTTGCGGCCACCTAAAATACACGAAGTTTATCGCCTGAATGTTATCGCGATGTACGAACGCAAAAACAACATGGACGCCGCGGTTGCTCTGTATTTTATGGCAGCAAATTTTTTTTTACATCTATGTCAAATAAAACCTTCAGGTTCAGAATGTGCAACGGTTTCAAAATGTCCAATTCCCAGAATGTCCAATTCCCAGAATGTCCAATTCCCAAAATGTCCAATCTACTATTATGATGGGAATATTACATGAATGTTCGTGTTATCGCGATGAGTGCGGCCAAAATATTTTATGTCTATGGGAGGGTTCCCGTGTCGCTCCCATATCTCAGGCACTCGCTGAGTTAGCCTAGGCGCAGATCATCGATTTTTCGTCGGCCGATAGTTTAGTCGAGCAGTTGATCAGTATGGGCATGAATGTAAGTGCGCACATTACACCGATTTGATTTGGCCGATCCTTCATACAAATTAAAATCGGGCCCAACTATCTGCCAACTAAAAATCGGTGGTCTGCGCCTAGTCTTAAGGGCTAGACCTATAAAATTCCTAACATCACCTTTTTTCACTATAGTGTGCAAACGAAGGAGCGTACGAGTGTGCGCGGGCCGTATACGGATACGCTCTGTCAGTCTTCCCGTCTAAGAAGTCCATTTGGCTCCGAGCCGCCTACCTCGAGAAGCAACACGGCACCAGAGCTAGCCTCGAAGCCTTGCTGCAGAGAGCCGTAGCCCACTGCCCCAAGTCCGAAGTGCTTTGGCTAATGGGGGCCAAGTCCAAGTGGCTTGCTGGTGAGTGCTTTGTAAAGTACCTTATGTATTTGGTATAGGAGCGATATTGCAACGAAGGCGCGTACTAGTGTGCTCAAGCCATATACGGATACGCCATATCAGTCTTCCCGTCTAAGAAGTCCTTTTGGCTCCAAGCTGCCTACCTCGAGAAGCAGCACGGCATCAGAGCTAGCCTAGAAGCCTTGCTGCAGAAAGCGGTTGCTCATTGTCCTAAGTCAGAAGTGCTTTGGCTGATGGGGGCCAAGTCCAAGTGGCTTGCTGGTGAGTGCTTTGTAAAGTACCTTATGTATTTGGTATAGGAGCGATATTGCAACGAAGGTGGTCCGTTTGGTCCGTATGGTCCGTTTGGTCCGTATGGTCCGTTTGGTCCTGATGAAGCAGCAGTGGCAGCAGCAGCTGATGATCCTGGGCCGTATGGTCCGTATGGTCCGTTTGGTCCTGATGAAGCAGCGGCGGCAGCTGATGAGCCTGGGCCGTTTGGTCCATATGGTCCGTTTGGTCCGTATGGACCGTTTGGTCCTTCTGGGCCGTATGGTCCGTATGGTCCGTTTGGTCCTGATGAGGCGGCAGCGCCAGCCGATGATCCTGGTCCGTATGGGCCATTTGATCCGTATGGTCCGTTTGGTCCTGATGAAGCAGCAGCGGCAGCAGCAGCTGATGATCCTTGTTCTTCGATAATAACTACTTCTGGTCCGGCTGATGAAGCGGTGGCAGAGGCGGCAGCTGATGAACCTGGTCCTCTTGGTCCATATGGTCCGTTTGGTCCTGAAGCAGCAGCGGCAGCAGCAGCTGCTGATCCTGGTCCTCTTGGTCCGTATGGTCCTGCTGCATTTGGTCCATACTTGCCTGATCCACCAGCAGCAGAACTAGCAGATGAACTAGAAGATGACGAAGACCCTGGCACCTGCTTGATGACAACATCTTCTTCATAGATAGTTTCGTGACCGAATGCATCGGTTTCGATGACAAAGGTCCTTACTATCTTGTCTTGACCATGAATATTTTTGTTTGGTGGCGCGGAATCCCTGTGGAAAGTCTTTCGAACAGTTGATTTTTCAACGACATTTCCACTGCGGTCGGTTTCGAATTCGTCTGTTGAAGTTTCATTTGTTTCAGTGAATTGTTTTTCCCAGCCCGTAATGCTGTCTATGATAGCATCTGCAGCAACATACTGTGAAAATGAGATATTATATATGTTTTAAATAAATGTATTATATGCAAGTACTTACAACATTATCTTCATCATTATAAGCTCCTATCATCACAGTTCCTACCTATATATTTCTTCCATTGCTATTTTGAGAAATAAGGGACGAATTCAAAGTTTTATTGTTTTTAGAATATAATGGTGAACTTTTAGTTTAAATTAATCGTTCATATTATTGTGTGAAGAAACATAGCCCTTTTTGAAACAGCAATAATAGACACGTATTTATAATTATTTATATTTATAATTATTATTAAATTAAAAAATGAAATAGAAACTTAACGTTGAATGTGGTACTAATAAAAAGTTTTCCTTACCTGCAGAGCACAGCACAGGATCACGAAGGTTATGGCTCTCATTTTTCTGAGAGTTGGAACCGAACTGATGATTATTTCACGATTTCGGACGTTTTTATACTCAAATTTCAATAGGATATTGACGTAAAATATTATTCACGAAAACAATTTCAGTATGTAATGTAAATATTGACATAATTAAGCAAGAAATACTAGTATTTACTTAATTTACAACAATGCGATGTCACCTTGCCATTTCAAACAATATGTAATAATTACAAATTGATTAAGTTCTTGTTCAGCGTTCATCAATACTTTATAATGACGTATACTCGTTATGTACGTTTCATACATAATATATTTTCGTTTAAAGTTAGTTTTGTATGTAGGTATGTTTCTATTTCAGACCAAAAACTCTGTGATAAACTTTCATGTTAATTAAAACATTTTCTAACATCTGGGAGCCTCATAAACTACGTAAAAAATATTCAGCAAGAAAACTTTCAAATATAGCTTTTTACATCGCATCATAGTTTTCAACNAGAGAGCCGTAGCCCACTGCCCCAAGTCCGAAGTGCTTTGGCTAATGGGGGCCAAGTCCAAGTGGCTTGCTGGTAAGTGCTTTGTAAAGTACCTTATGTATTTGGTATAGGAGCGATATTGCAACGAAGACGCGTACTAGTGTGCTCAAGCCATATACGGATACGCCATATCAGTCTTCCCGTCTAAGAAGTCCATCTGGCTCCGAGCTGCCTACCTCGAGAAGCAGCACGGCATCAGAGCTAGCTTCCAAGCCTTGTTGCAGAAAGCGGTTGCTCATTGCCCCAAGTCCGAAGTGCTTTGGTTAATGGGGGCCAAGTCCAAGTGGCTTGCTGGTAAGTGCTTTGTAAAGTACCTTATGTATTTGGTATAGGAGCGATATTGCAACGAAGGCGCGTACTAGTGTGCTCAAGCCATATACGGATACACTCTATCAGTCTTCCCGTCTAAGAAGTCCATCTGGCAAGCCTTGCTGCAGAAAGCGGTTGCTCATTGTCCTAAGTAAGAAGTGCTTTGGCTGATGGGGGCCAAGTTCAAGTGGCTTGCTGGTAAGTGCAAATCTCTAGCTCGTTACATAATAACCTGTAAGTTTTACCATATTGTTTTAGCCCATTGCCCCAATAGTGTAGTATTTCGGCTAATGGAGGGCGAATCAGTTCAAGGATTTCCCACGACCTTCACCAGGTTGTCGGTCCACCAATTAGGAGGCCTGCCTACACTATGGTTGCCAGTCGAAAATATTTCTGCCCCGACAGCCGTCAGTTATGCCCTACCCATTGCCATTTAAGTTTGAAAACTCTATGGCTGTTTGGTAAGAAATATTATTTCATACAAGTGAAAATAGATCGTGAAATATAAAACTAGCAAAAACAAGAGTTCCCGTATCCATTCCATAGCTAATTTTACTTAAGCTGGATTCGATCAAAAAAGAGTAAATATTAATCTGACATATTTCCCATACTGAAACTGTCCATGTATCAGTTATACCAGGAGTTATTCTCGGATAAAAGTTTGGTCGAATCGGGCCTTAGTTAAAAACGTTCTTATTTCTCAGGTGACGTCCCCGCGGCGCGTGGTATTCTTTCGCTGGCTTTCCAGGCCAACCCCAACTCTGAGGAGATCTGGCTCGCCGCCGTCAAGTTGGAGAGTGAGAATAAGGAGTATGATAGAGCCAGGCGGCTGCTGGCCAAAGCACGGGCTTCTGCTCCTACGCCTAGGGTAAGTCCTACTGTGTAAGCTGTTAACTCTATTCAAGAATGGTTTCGAAGGACCATTGGTATGGTCTTACTTAGTAGTATATTTTTGGTCGAGGGAAGCGCGGGTTGCGGGGCGTTTGATCCGAGCAATCCGAGCGTCATTATTGTAGTGTGCGTGTGCACTCATTTATAATATAGCGAGGATAATTTAGCGAGTACCGATGACACTCAAACATTAGCGGAAGAAGAATGAGAAATTACGAGTACGTTACGTGCGATAAAACATTGTTTTTTTTTCTTACGCCCAGTATGTAAAAAAGGCACTCAAAATATTCCAAGACCATGATATTATGTATATGTAGTGTAATTTTTCACTATTTATTTTAAATTTAGCTGTATCTTTTCTCCCAGGTAATGATAAAGTCTGCGAAACTAGAATGGGCACTAAATAATCTAGAAGTAGCTCTAAAGTTATTAGAAGAGGCTATCAAAGTGTTCGGCGACTACGCGAAACTGCACATGATGAAAGGCCAAATAGAGGAACAAATGAACAAAGATGAGGACGCGCATAACACTTATACACAGGGGGTAAGGTTTATTTTACAATGTAATTATTAACATAGCAAAAAGTTTGTTATGTTTGACTGAACTATGGGCACTGATTTATATTTTTCTTTATAGCTGAAGAAATGTGCAGCCAGCGTGCCAATGTGGATACTTTTGTCAAGGCTAGAAGAGAAATTAAAACACGTCACTAAAGCGAGATCAGTGCTTGAAAAGGCTAGATTGAGGAATCCAAAGAATGCTGAATTATGGTAAGATAATTTTAACAATTAATTTCTATAAAGTAATTTGAACCAAGCTCTTGGCTTTAGCCTTCTAATCGTTTGATGTAATTATTTTATTTTATAAAAGCCCCCTTTTTTGGGGTTATAACTTATAATCCCAAAAAAGGGGGCTTATAAGCCATGATTTTTGTCAAACCACCCTTTCTGTCTCTCTGGTGTTAACGCTGCTGTCGCGCTTCTCAAGCCCTAATGTGAAAGCGGCCTTAGCCACATACTTGGTGTTGTATTCTTTAAATTGTACATGTATATTTCTTTAGGCTAGAGAGTGTAAGACTGGAAAGGCGGAACGGCAGTGTGGAGATAGCAAACGCTGTGATGGCGAAAGCTTTGCAAGAGTGCCCCAACGCCGGCCGACTGTGGGCCGAGGCCATCTTCATGGAGTCTCGGCCGCAGAGGAAGACTAAGAGCGTGAGTAGATTCATATTTATTTATCTTATAGTTGCAATTCATGAAGGCGAGTGAGCTTTACACGTGTGGTGGCTCGCTACTGTTCGTTTTTTTTAAGTTTTGATAAAAACCGGTCTCCGAGCACGTAGAATTTTGTCCAATGATCCCAAGCTACCCATCCTTATCGCTCGCGCGTAATCATGTTGCTGTCGCGCTCGCACACTCACTGCAAGGGCCCGTCGCACAGTCGCGACAGCAACATAATTACGCGCGAGCGATAAGGATGGGTAGCTTGGGGTCAATGGACGAAAATCTACGTGCTCAGCGACCAGACTATTGACATTTACACTATTGTTACGTGCATGTTCACGTACACACACAAGTAAAGCTCACTCAACTTCGTGAGTTGCAAGAACTATACAGGCAATGAAGGTATCATATTTGCGCTCATCAGTTGGCGTCCCTGGCGAATACTATCATGTCACTCGCTAGTGGCTATCATGTAAGACAGTTGCGCTATCTGGTGCTAGCGGCCGTCCGCGACTTCGTACGCGTGGATCCAGTTTTACCCTCTTAAGGGTGGAATTTCTTAAAACCCGTCCGCACCTACGTTCTAAAAGGAACCCCCATGCAAAATTTGAGACTCCTAGCACTTGTAGTTTCTGAGATTTCGTTATGAGTGAGGGAGTCAGTCAATCAGTGACCTTTCGCTTTTATAGATAATAGATAATAAAAAAAAAGTACGGCCAACGAGAAGCGATACAAAAGGTCGATTCGACTTTCGAATTGACAATCTATTCTGTCTCTTCCCATCTTGTGTATTTGTCGTAATGTCTCGTTCTCCCGCCAAAATATGTCAAAGTCAAACTCTTAGGCTAGGTTGCACAATCTTACTTTAACTTTGACAAACGTTAACGTTAAATCTGTCAAATTCCATACAAAAGGCACCGGTTATCGTCATAGTCACCGTTAAAGATAGGTGGTGCAACCCACCCCTACTATTATTCCAAATGACAATGACATTGGGTTTTGTACGAGCACGATCGTACATCCTGCTGCACCGTCAGCATTGACCGCCGGGCGACCCATGAACCCTCAGCGTGCACCGTCGGCACTCTACACCGACGGCACACTAACAAATACCTTTAAATGTGTACAAACAATAAACCATGTATAAATAGCAATAGTTAATACCAATAAATCAGATATCAACCGTCCGTCGTTGTGTCTCATTTCCCCCCGCTGCGGCCAAGACACCCTTAGCCGTCGCTATGATCAGTCCGGTGAGTCTGCCGGGCTGGCAGCGGGTCCCCGCCGCCTACCTGCCGTCCTAACGCTGCTGCCCTGGGCGACCTGGGCACAGCTTCCTTCCTATCAAACCCTTATTATGTCTAAGTATCTATTGTTAGGCAGGGCTAGGGCTCTAGGGACTTAGTGTCTTAGGGAATAGGGACTCTAGGCTCACTAGGGAGTTAGTTCCCTTCCTGACCGCATATCCCGGGCACGGGAGCGGTGCCTTACAACCACTGCCTCCCGCCCGTACATCTTCGAGCCGGATAGTTCATCAGCGACCACCAGACCCTACAGTCGGTCTTTCATCCTTAAACCATTTCAGCATCGGGATGGAGTGCCTTACAACCATTCCATATTTTCTCGATTGCTTAAACTCTTCGACCATTTACCATTATTAATATTCAACATTAACCAAAAAATGACCTTATTTTGGTCTTCCAATACCTAACCAATTGGAAATAAATTTATTTCACTACCATAATTTATTGTTACGTAATGTAAATTACCATTCATAACTTTTAGCGAGCAATGTAGCAAAACTGACCAACTCGTGAATTAACATTTATACCGAGCGAGGTCTTAACATCATCATTATCATTATTCATTACCAAATGGTAGCAAACCAAGATGCTATCAATTTTACCATTATGTTATGTAGCGAACCAGTCTACATAATTTATTTACCATTACCAAATACGGTAGCAAACCAAGAAGCTATCGACTCTACCATTATCAAGTTATGCGGCGAACCAGACTGCATAATTATTACCATTACCATTTAAGTTAGCGACCAAGAAGCTAACAACTTTACCATTATCAAGTTATGTAGCGTACCAGTCTACATAACCTACGACCATTACCAAACCAGTAGCAATCAAGACGCTACAAACCAAGAAATAAGATCGACCAGGTAGCAACCAGAAGCTACAGATCTTAAAACGACCGTTTTTACCAAGTTGTAGTAAGCAAGAGGCTACAACTAACTATTGTTTTATTTATTTATCACTGTGGCTTGTGCATTGCCACAAAATCTTCATTTTTCATATTACCATACTTTGCTACATTGCGAGCGTATTACTACCATTCAGCGATTCTCGCATAGTTTCACCTTTCTGCAACTAAGCATTTCGCAGTCCATTGACGTTATACCAAGTAAAATAACATAACATTTTTGTATTGTGTTTTCAAGTAAATAATATTGTCATTATTAGGCAGTGTAGGTTACCAATATTAGTTAGGCGGGGGAAATTATACAACTATAACTACCAATACTGTTGTCCATCACTACCATCCATTAATTCCTAGTTTTCCTACCAACGACAACTACCATCATCAACGACAACTACCATCACCAACGACAAGTACCATCATCTACCACCAAGTTGAGCAACTACCACCATCATCAGAACATCACCAACCTGACAGCAGCGGATCAGTTACCGGCCTCCCGGAAGTGGGTCTCACCGGTAACCGAGAAGTCGCAGATGCTGTGCAGCGCAACATAAGCCAAGAGGGCACCAATGAAGAGGACAACAGCCAGGAGACAAGCAGCCTGGATAATCGACCAACCACTGAGACATCAGCCTGGCCACACCAGCGCCAGGCTCCACACCAGCTGCCTGGCTACACCAGCGCCAGGCCCACCATCAGCCTAACCACACCAGCGTCAGGCTCCACACCAGCAGCCTGGCCAAACCAGTGCCAGGTTCACCATCAGCCTGACCATACCAGCCTGGCCACACCAGCGCCAGGCCGACCATCAGCCTGACCACACCAGCGTCAGGCTCCACACCACCAGCCTGGCCACACCAGCGCCAGGCCCACCATCAGCCTGACCACACCAGCCTGGCCACACCAGCGCCAGGCCCACCATCAGCCTGACCACACAGCCTGGCCACACCAGCGCCAGGCCCACCATTAGCCTGGCCACACCAGCGCCAGGCTCAACAGCAGCCTTGGCCACACCAGTGCCAGGCCTCACCAGTGCCAGGCCCGCGAGCATCCTGGCATCACCAGGAGCCAGGCCCGCGAGCTGCCTGGTCAATCAACCAGCCAGGTGGACATCAAGTGGACAGCCAACCAGAGGTCCACCACCTGGGTCATCAACCACTCATGGAGTCACCGGCAGCCAAGGTCTTCGGTCATCGGGCAGCAGGGCAGCCACGTGCAGCATCCTCCGCTCCTTCTTCTTCTGCGAGGTGCCAATATGTACGAGCACGATCGTACATCCTGCTGCACCGTCAGCATTGACCGCCGGGCGACCCATGAACCCTCAGCGTGCACCGTCGGCACTCTACACCGACGGCACACTAACAAATACCTTTAAATGTGTACAAACAATAAACCATGTATAAATAGCAATAGTTAATACCAATAAATCAGATATCAAACGTCCGTCGTTGTGTCTCATTTCCCCCCGCTGCGGCCAAGACACCCTTAGCCGTCGCTATGATCAGTCCGGTGAGTCTGCCGGGCTGGCAGCGGGTCCCCGCCGCCTACCTGCCGTCCTAACGCTGCTGCCCTGGGCGACCTGGGAGCAGCTTCCTTCCTATCAAACCCTTATTATGTCTAAGTATTTATTGTTAGGCAGGGCTAGGGCTCTAGGGACTTAGTGTCTTAGGGAATAGGGACTCTAGACTCACTAGGGAGTTAGTTTCCTTCCTGACCGCATATCCCGGGCACGGGAGCGGTGCCTTACAACCACTGCCTCCCGCCCGTACAGGTTTGTTTACATTTGGTATCGCTTCTCGTTGGCCGTACTTTATCTGAGATGTAACGTCATACTCATTTGAACTTTGATCGTCTACGTATAGTTCCAAAATACTGAACTGTCCTATGCATGACATTGACAGTGGGGCGCCACCGTCAATACCGGATCGCTGGTTCCGATTTTTGCCATGTTGGAAACCACATAGTTGAACGATGGTAGCGCCCCCCTGTCATTGAGTTTGGTGGGACAGTTCAGCCTGGGTCATTTATACGAGGTAGCGCAGAATAGAGAATTGAATGGCATTAAGTAAATAATGTTTACCCACTCTTATTAAGCTACCAAGTCAAATTATTTTAACATGGAGGAAATATACACCTTAATACTAAGATATTTGGTTCATATTTGCTTAGCATACTGTCTGTCGCCAGGTGGACGCGCTAAAGAAGTGCGAGCACGATGCTCACGTGCTACTCGCGGTGTCTCAACTGTTCTGGACGGAGAGGAAGCTCAACAAGTGTCGGGAATGGTTCAACAGAACGGTGAGTGCGAATGTAGCCTCTATTTGTTCTGGCAGAAGATAGGTTTTAGGAATTATTTTAGCAGCTAGATTTAGAGATCGAAGAAACCTGTTGTTTGGGATACTTTTACTGGCTGGATACTAGATATTATGACTGTTAAGGGCGCTTTCAATTTAGACGTTTCGTGTTGGACGTTTGCCGCGCGCTTGCCGTGCGTTTATAAGACCGCACACGTAGACTGTATGACAACTGCGTCGGAATAAAATTGACAATACTAATAGTTAATAGTAAGTGTGCGGTCTTCTCTTGTGGTCTAAATTGAAAGCGCTCTAAGACTAACAGTCATAGGCAGTTACTGTTCATAAGTCACTTTTTAATTTAGTCTGTCTATTGATGCGATTGATTAGATCAGAGGAATATACCAGTTGGAATAGAAAGTAACAGTATAATTAAACCATATTTCTAAATACGTTTATTTAAAAATAAATTTCAAATTGTGTTTACTTTACTTCAGTTCAGTAAACTTGCTGATTCACTTACCTCTTTGGTAGGTGTCATATAAAATAATACAGTGATTAAAAATGTCAGCAACAGAAAATAACCTTTCTTTTTTCACCGATTCGCCGTACAAAGCCATCGTCGAGTAACATTATTATAAATAAAAGCTCGTATATTCTCTCTTTATGAATGTGCAAGTATTGAAATATATTATTTCGATGATATGGACGTGACAACGCGCAACGTGTTGAATGGAATGACGCCAAGTAGAACACGTCTCGCTGATAAAACTTATGAACTCAGATAGTGTTAACTATAATAATTATTAGTAGAGAATAGACAGTTATTATTTTTCAGTTAGAAACTCAATGCTGTAAGCAATCTTACAGCATTCAGTTTCTAACTGATTCCTAATTTTTAAGTGACCCCTATGGTAACACATAACAGGAATTTTGTTGTCAAAGGGGTCACTTACATTTGGGATTGATGGTGAAAACGGGCATCAGTAAATCATTGCTAGGCAAAACTTGACGTATGAATTGTTTTTTCTATGCCCACAACCTTTAATAAGGCAAAAGAATATGGCTACCACTGTATTTGGGACTTTCTTCCCTGATATTAAAGTCCAAAAACAACAAATAAACTGACTTGCTATGCCCTATTGAGGAATAATGACCATCAGAATTCATCGCCATCGCATCCTTGCGATTGAGTCTGTCAATTGATGCTCTTATTTTTTTTTGGGAACTGCTTAAAACCAATTGAACTTTTTAGGGCAAGAATTAAATTCTCTTTAAAATTTCTCCCAGGTAAAAATCGACCCGGACTTAGGCGACGCGTGGGCTTACTTCTACAAGTTCGAGTTACTACACGGCAACGAGCAACAGCAAGAAGATGTCAAATCTCGCTGCAAGACCGCCGAGCCTCACCACGGGGAGCGCTGGTGCGCCGTCTCCAAGGATATCGCCAGTTGGTGCTTTAGCACTGAACAGATACTGCTACTGGTGGCCAAGAGCCTGCCAGTGCCCACTTAATCTGGTACTTTTAATATTTGAATCTAGAACTGCGACCGTCATTTGTTTCGTCAATTTTTAATGTTAAATTACAAATTGTGATCGTCATTTGTTTCTTCGGTTTGAATTTATAAAAAAGAAGACGGTTATCGTCATTTGTTTAATTGATGTAAAGTCCCATTGTAAGACCGCTGAGCTGCACCACGGGGAGCGCTGGTGCGCCGTCTCCAAAGATATCGCCAGTTGGTGCTTTAGCACCGAACAGATACTTATATTGGTGGCCAAGAGTTTGCCAGTGCCTACGTAATCCGGTACTTTTCATTTTTGATACTAGAACTGCGACCGTCATTTGTTTCGTCAATTTTTAATCTTAAATTAGAAATTGTGATCGTCATTTATTTTGTTTCTTCAGTTTGAATTTTTAAAATAGAAGACAGTTATCGTCATTTGTTTAATTGATGTAAAGTCCCATTGTAAGACCGCTGAGCTGCACCACGGGGAGCGCTGGTGCGCTGTCTCCAAAGTTATCGCCAATTGGTGCTTTAGCACCGAACAGATACTTATATTGGTGGCCAAGAGTTTGCCAGTGCCTACGTAATCCGGTACTTTTCATTTTTGAGTCTAGAACTGCGACCGTCATTTGTTTCGTCAATTTTTAATCTTAAATTAGAAATTGTGATCGTCATTTATTTTGTTTCTTCAGTTTGAATTTTTAAAATAGAAGACGGTTATCGTCATTTGTTTAATTGATGTAAAGTCCCATTGTAAGACCGCTGAGCTGCACCACGGGGAGCGCTGGTGCGCTGTCTCCAAAGTTATCGCCAATTGGTGCTTTAGCACTGAGCAAATTTTACTACTGGTGGCCAAGAGTTTACCAGTGCCCACTTAATCCGGTACTTTTCATTTTTGAATCTAGAACTGCGACCGTCATTTGTTTCGTCATTTTTTAACCTTGAATTGAAAATATTGATCGTCATTTGTTTCGTCATAAACGTCCCATGCAGATGCGCCAGTGAATAATCGTGACCGTAAAATTTTAGGCTCGCTATTGTAGCGCGCCAAACGACTTTTAATACCGATCAAGTCCTGCCACTATTTCAACAATAAAATGGTGGATTATCATGAAATGACTCATGTGTTGTTTTGAAGCATGGAAAGCATAATAGTTATTTAGCCATCAAATATGAGTGCAATGTAAAAATATTAAGTGCATTGTAAAGTGCATACTGAAGCTGAGCTAACGATCAGCTCATGCTATGCTATTAAGATCATTTTTACAAGCACCATTCCTCATAACATCAAATTTATGTAGTGTTAAAAAAGCATCAGATGTAGCTTTTTAATACATAACTAGTTCCCTAGTATTTTAATATTTTTTTTGTCAAGAAACGGCAAAAACGTGTATGTAAAAGCGATAACCTAATCTTTAAGGAAGCGAAAAATATTAAGTAACAAATGAGCTTTTAAACACAAATTTTAATAAAAATGAAATTCATTAAGTAGGTATAATTTAATACCACATGTTTTTTCGGCTAAGTTAAAATGATCATTTATTTTGAATTAGGAGTCATTATTGTTACAAGTTCTGTTACATGATATACTTAGTAAGAAATAATTTATCTTGAACTTACAATAAAATGAGAAGTTCGACCAAACTAAATGTTTTTTATTATAGTATTTATTTATCATAATATCTTCCATCGTAGTGTGCATTAAAAACACTTTTGAAAGATACATCAAGACGCGTGAATCCTACGCACGTCTCAAGTCGAGTTTTTTTAGAAATCCGATTTTAATATCAATTGTGTACGACGCGCGCGGTAAACACCTTTTATAAAGTTCTATAAATACATAATGCGCTCGAGTTTGTGCGAGTTTGAATTATAAACGTGTGCTGGCACCGTGCCAGCCAAGCGCGCATGCGCGGTAAATAGCTGCGCGGGTTTTTCACTTCTTTCTCTTCCCAAAACCGAAAACCGTCGCGTCTGATCAGCTATGCTCAATATTTTGTAGTGAAACGTAGTGTACGAGTATTTCCAGTGATATTTACCAGTAGTGTTACAAAATAGTGTTGTGAAAATGTCGCCAAAATGCCCAGTGCCGCCGCTCCAAGAAATAACCTTATCGCTGGTAGCCCGACAACTGATTCACGCCCTGTCGCGAGTGACTTCCGAGGAAGACTCAGCACTGCCATTCGCCATGGTCTCGTCCTACTATGAAAGCATGGGAGCGACCAATGACATATTCCAAGATCTCCTCAACTTGATTCTCACTTCGGAGTACCTGGACCCGTCAATCAGATTTTACTCCATGCGTTTGCTGCTCAAAGAAAACGTCAAAAGTCTCGCCACTGGAATCTTCCCGTGCCCCTATTACAGGAAAATCCTTGAACTACTTATCGAGCAAGGACACCACCTGACAGCTCTCAATTTGAAAGGTGTGTGGGTTAAAGAGGAACATCTGACGCTCATGTATCACTTACTGAAAAATCTCACCAATTTAACAGTGCTGAATATACCTTACATCGCTAATGATGAAGTTCTGAAATATATCGGAGAACACAACAAAGTCCTTAAATTACTAGACGTGTCGGGGGAAACAGATATCACAGAAATAGGTATAGATGCAATGTTGACTGGTAACCCGCAGTTGACTAGGAGTTTGACTGTTGTCAACATCGGTATGTACGGCGAAGAGAACATTGATCACACAGATGTTGCTTTATTAATACGACGGTTGCCCAACCTGACCAACCTTGGCAGTTACTCGTTCGTAGGCAAGTCAATTTATCACATTTACAATAACGACTGCCCTCCTAATTTCCAAACGAAGTTGCAATACCTCCACGACGTACAGACAAACATGAGAACTATGAAAGCGATTGTAGCGCTGTGTCCATTGCTAGAAACTATTTACTTAGAAGAGCCTGACCAAGGAGTTTTGCAGCAAGTGAAAGAATTAAATGAAATAAACAAAATAAAACTCAATAAATTCCAGTGCCACGAACTCCATCAGCTGTTGGATAAGATGGGGCATAAAATAATTACGTTGATGTTGTCGGGGTCATCAGGGTCGTTCAACTTCACCAGGATAGCGGAGACTTGTAGAAATCTTGAGAGTTTAGAGTTCTTCCAAATACATACTGCAACTCACGAGGAAGAGATACCATTCAACAAGTTGGAGCACATTGAGATTATACACGGGAATCTGTCGTCATCGTGCCTGAAGTACCTAATGACAGGCAGCCCCAAGCTAAAAAAACTGATCATTGGCGATGAAATTAAACTGGATGACAATGACATGTCGCGGTACGTGTTTAATTGTTTAATTGACCACAAATCTGCATTAAACCTTCATTACCAAACATACTTCGATTAATTTATGTTCTGTTTGTAGCTTTGCCAAATATACAACAGTAAACTATTGTAATTAACGTTAGCGGCTTACTGAATGACAGTAACTTGCATGTCAGATTTTATCATCAAAGCTTATTAATAAATCAATAAATCTTGGCCAAGTTTGTTATTGGGTTTCTGTTATAACTTCAGCGCCCTCCCCTTTTTAACTGACTTCATTTGTTCCAAATTGATGGTATTCACACCTGTAGGCTGAGTGTGACTTTACATCGAACGTCCTCACTAGTGAGCGCGTAAAAATGTATGAAAATTTTAGTTCTTAACCGTTTCCGCTAGGGGCGCTGTACAATCCGTCATACATTTATTGTCATTTTTACGCGCTCATTATTGAGCGCGTTTGATGTAAACCCACACTAGGCTCTCTGGTGTCTATAAGAGGGCCTAATTTGTGACGTTTCAACTGTATATCTTGGGATCGTTAGTTTTGTATTATTAGAGGCCGGTCGATCTACTCTCATAAATAAAACACTGGATACTCATCTTTTACATTATATTGCCTTATTTTAATTACAATTCATCACTTAGCACAAAAGCGTCCCTCTATTCTGACGTTTGATTCTCGTGTGACATTGACGTATTGTTAATGTCACTATGACAGCATCTCATTGGCTATAACGATACTGCTATTTTAACGTTTTATATTTTTCACAATTAACAGTATGGTATGCAATAAAAGCTAAAAAGCACTATGTTGATGCTGGTTTAAATAAACCAAACGATATGGAGATCAGCTTCCATAATCATACCATTCCAATTCCACTCATTGTTATATTGCAACATTTGTAATACATAACTTACCAATAATATACTTAGTGAATCTTTTCTGCCAATTCCAGGATGCTCCGCCGCTACAAATTCCAGCATCTCGAAGGCATTTGGTTCCCGAACGCGCCGCGTCTCACACGAGACACGGTGGAACTGCTCATGGAGACATGCCCCAGTCTCCAGAGTCTAGGGCAGCTCAGTGGCTGGCAATTTACTCCTGATGACATGATGCTCATGAGAGCTATCATTGCGAGCACCAACACAGACCTAGTCCTGTCTCCGTTGGGTATCTTCCAGCAGGGAAATTAGGTTGTTCTATCAATAAGCTATCAATAAGCTATCAATAGATCGAACGAAAGGAAACGATGATTCAACTTTGCATTTGAACTTTGGTAATTTTATCGATCGATTTTATACGTGTTTGTAGTAATAAGATCGCTTCTGTATATTTGTAATGTAATGACTATTTATTATTGATTTTTACCGCATAAAATATCAGGTTTCAAAATTAAGACGGTTGTTGCATCCACGTGGCAAATGTCTTTCTTGAAAAATGTATGTTATAAAAACAAGTTCATCTTCATTGATTTGATTTTTTTTAAATAAAACAGTTAAAGTGGTTCTAAAATTGGTTAAACAAGTCTATAGATGATGTCTGTCTTATCAATCTAGTCAACTTCAGTGCATTATTATAGGGTTTTGGTCGGGTAAAAAATAAATAAACCTTTTTATAAAATGAATTATTTTTATTTCAATAATTGCTCGACAATATCAAAATGAGCACCATTACATTACATTGAAATCACTGATCAGAGTAAAAAAATAAAACTAAATCACTAATCTAAACCGACGCCAGCCAGTACCTACTAAAGAGGCAAATAATTCACAAGACCGACTGGGTGGTTCCATAAGGCGCGCAACACAGACTAGTAAAAACTGTCGTGATAAAACGCTTTATGCCTCAAAGGCATAAAAAAGGCAAATTTTAAAGTCCACAAGTATTATAAGATGGAAAAAACTACCAAAGGCAGTTCAACAGAAATGTGCACGCACATTTTCACAATAAAAAGCTCATAAGTGGACTGTGGACACTCGTACCCTCAAACATGATAGTTTTTGTGTTGTTTGTTGATACGAGTGCTTTTATAGTGTGTCTCAATTTGTACAGAAATATAACAGGGTGCCAGTTATCATAAGAAAAAATAAGACAGGATGAAGAATTTGGAAAAACCTCTGAATTATATTTTCAACCTGTTCAAACAATGTATAAAATAACAAACAGTTCCACTGAAATTAACCAACATTTTTAAAAAATAAATAAATAATTAAAAAATATATATATCTGAAATTGATTACAGGCTCCACTGTTAAATTTTTATACATTAGAGACATTTACAAATATTTGTCTGTAACCAACCAGATTATGTCATTTTAATACAATACAAATTAATGAAATTGAAATGTCTATTTGTAATGCGAATACAACAGCTTTTACTATTATGAAAGTATGTACGGTACTACGTATAACAAAATAAATATTTTTTTACATAAATTACTAAACGGGTGGACCGATTTTGACTGAACTTTCACTGGCAGATAGCGGATGTTATAAGGGATCGTCCATTAATATCACATTGAAAATGTGCTGAATACATGCTTTTAAAGTTGTTAGTACTTAAAAAAATCCTGAAAATTTTTGTTCCAAAAATATCTCTATAAATCTGACTCTTCAGAGGATGATTCGCCCTTGATTTCTTGTTGGTATTGTTTTGTTAGTGCTTCATCAGGATCCTCATCAGATTCTAATATGTACTTGTAAAATAAAGCTTGATCCCTGTGGCAGCAAAATGAATTGAACTATTGTGGTATGATCAAATTCGTATATGTTCCCTTTCCGAATGTGGTTCTTGGTGAACTAATAAAATACCTAGCTACATAAAGCATGCCCACTTCTCAATGATGATTGTTAACATTGAATCGTCTGTCAGACTGGGATCCTTAAGTGCGTTAATGTTTTCAAACTAGTTGCTTATTAGAATATTGTCGTCGGAGCGGTCAAACACTTCCATGTTTTCATTTTCGACGTTTTCATTTGCATTTTCCCCATTACAGTTTTGGACGTCACCATTTGTATCATTTGTTTTATCTTGTATAGTCTTATCTTGTCCTTGTGTACACGACACAAGGACAAGATAAGACTACTCTTTGGTTTGTTGTTTGTCTTATTGCTTTGTTTCATGCGTCGTAGGTTATTCGCCACCATAAAAAACTTTGTTCATACCCGTTTTGCCGAATTTCTTTCTAAGAGGCTTTGGCAAAACCTTCATCGATCGGCCATAAACTTTTTCGACACTACGGATTGATCGACAGAAGTTCTTGAATATCTTTATATTCATTGATACATATACGGTGTCATCCTGACGACTTTCGCGGTCGTTTATGTTCATTTGGTTCTTTCGTTCTGTACCAACTTTCGTGGCTTTTTACGCAGCTGTGCCTTGAAACAATCACTACGTGGGATTTATTTATAAACGTATTTTAGACTTCTACGTAGTTACTCATCGGCTGACAAAGAAAACCTTACAGTTTTTTTTCACTAGGAGAAAACTCTTAAGGTATTGGTTACTTTCGTTCTGTACCAACTTTCGTGGTTTTTTACTTAGTTGTGCCTTGGACCAATCACTACGTGGCATTTTTTTGCAAACGTATTTTGGACTTCTACGTAATTAGTCACCGGCTGACAAAGAAAACCTTACAGTTTTTTTTTCACTAGGAGAAAACTCTTAAGGTATTGGTTACTTTCGTTCTGTACCAACTTTCGTGTTTTTACGCAGTTGTGCCTTGGACCAATTACTGCGTGGGATTTTTTTTTAAACTTATTTTGGACTTCTTCGCAATTAGTCACCGGGTGGCAAAGAAAACCTTACAGTTTTTTTTTCACTGGGAGGCTATTCTTTGGGTAATTGATTAACTGCATTTTCAGGTGTGGCGGGTGGTTCTTGATTGGTTATGTTCGGCGTAACTGGCTGCGCTTTGTTATTCAGATTAAGTTTCTTTGGCATAGCCACTACAGCCTGTACCTTGCCGTCAGGCGACACAACCAGTCTCCTAGGCGCAGGTTGCTTCCTGTTAGTGCGGCAACCAACAGCAGCTTTCATAATAATATTATCCTTGTTGGATGGGTTAAGTACGTTCTTCGGTACAGTTTCAGTTTTCGGTTCAGTTTTCTTAGCCCCTTGGCGCTTCGGTGTATTAAGCTTGCGCTTTTTCCTAGTACGTACCTACTGTTTTTATCTTTTTTTAATCTTATATTTGGCCCTTTAATAATCCTTAAAATATTAACATACAAGTTTCGGAATCATGTCATTGTTACGAAATGTTGACTGAATGATTGCTTGTATTTTTGATTAAATATACTCCCAATGTCTGAATTCTTGATAGCTTGATATTGGACTAAATCAAATAGGAGAGAAATTACATCCAGTGAATGTTTTAGTAGAGTAGACTCATACGCAAACTGCAGAAAGGCTAACTGTTGCATTGGATTGTGATTGTTATTATCGACAGGTTGTGTTATATGTAACTGACCGTTCATAATATGTAATTAGGCCCCGAAATCTGATTGCTATAGTGTATGATTTGTCTTGCCATATGATCAAGCCATAGATGAATTAGAATGGTCATGTTGCTGGTTATTTTGTTGTTGCAAATTGTTTTCGTTGGATAATGTTATGTTATTCACTCTTTGATTAGATGCCTCTTGAAATGATTGAAATATTCATATATTGAACGGAATTGTTTACAGAAGTCATAATTTGCATTTGATTGTGTGAAGTGGAATTCGAAATTTAACACATCTGATTTTGGGATATTTTGGTTATTTTGCATAGGTGGTTGCATAACGTTATGAGGAATTATACTGATTGACGTCTTTTTTTATTGCGCTGATTCTGCTCCACACTGATGGGCGGAGCCTATAATGGATGGTATTGTTTGTTTACACATACAATGTCACTATTTTGTTGCAATTTCTTACAAAACTTACGCGCAGAAAGCAAATCTAGTATGTAAAATCATCAACTTCTAATGCTCGTAACTCAGTTCAGACTGAGTTTAGAGGTATACATGTCATAGTATGTATGGTTTATTACACTATTTCGTAATAAAAAAATAAGGTTTGGTCGATGGCCGCGCAAAAAAAAAAGACGCCACCTTCCATACAAAATCTGGCATTGCCATTTACGTTATAGTCGGTAGCCTAGGAGCAGTTTGCTTCCTGCTAGTGCAGCAACCAAAAGTTTCTTTGTTGGATGGTTTCTATCGCGTTCTTCGGTACGAGCTCAGGTTTCTCAGCCTCTTTGCGCTTGGATGTATTTTGTTATTGTTAATTTCCTTTCAAAAGCGACTAGTGCTTACCACACGTTCCCGTGAGCGGCCCCAAAGCAGGCACTTGGTATCCTCGCACCTGAGCCAAATTCCTAAGTGTTTGTAATCCCAGACTCATACACAGACCGCAAACTGCAGAAAGGCTACGGAAGCACCCCCACTTCTCTTCAGATCATTGTAAACGAGCAAAGCATTTGTACGGCAATAATTGACTTGCATCAACAATAATGATCAACAATATTGCGTCAATATTGTGCGATTTTGACGCCATGTTGCTGAGCAATATTGATAAATAATGCTCATTTACTAGGACCTGATGATTTCGGTTTTCTGTCAGTGAAATTTGTCTAGTTTGCGGTCTGGGATGAGTCTGAAAATATAGCCACACCAGTTGTTGAGCTAAATGACGTCCTAGGCTAGGCCTACTCATGGGTACGCTTGTTATCGCTTTAGTAAGTAAAAATGTTCCTAAATCATATGCAGGTATAACGCTAACATCGTTTGAAATTGACGAAAGAGTTTGACAGGCAGCTAGTAAAGGCCACGAGCAGCTACAGTGTAGGACTGCCACTTAATTTTACGAAATTTATCCATGAGCAGAAGAGTTTTCCCCACTTCCAATCGGCATCTGCATTTGTTTGGCTTTAAGTTTGTCGGACGTAGAGGTTGTTTTCACCTCCAGTCCGTACTAAAGTCATTTTTAAAATAATATCTTATGAGGAAAGTTTTCTGGACACGTATCTGTGCATTTGAAAGCTAAAGTGTTGTCAAAGTTAGTAAGGAAATCTTGTGGAAGAGCAGTCGCCCGGCAAGCGGAACGTCGTGGGTTCAATTCCCGCCTTAGGCAGTTCGATTTTTTCAAGTTATTTATAATTTTCAAAAAAGGAAATCTTGAGATTTTGGCATTTAATACAATCGGCGAAGGTCCTCGGTGAAATGGTTTGTGGGACATTCTTCCTCGCAATGGTCACGTCTCTTAAAGCAATTCCATAATTGTGATCGCGGCAGAGTTTACTTTTCAGGCCCAAGGATTCAAGAGACGTTTTTACTATGTACAAGGAGGCAAAAAGGTTCTCTACAACTTGTCGCCCTCCTATAACTTGTCACTTGCGTAAATAAGATAGACTGGTGAAATTGCGATGGTGAGCCTCAAATATCAATCGGTCGGTTAGGATTTTCATGGTTTCTTTTTTATTAATTTTTACTTTGTTTAATATATTTTATTTTATATTTTTTAATTTTTTTTTTAAATTTTATTTATTATTTTGTTTTTTTTTTTAATTGTACCAACCTGACCAGATTGTCCTTGACTTCGAATCTGTCTACCACTTCCGTGATAATATCCGACACTCTTTTTGGGTCCAAAAGCAGCCTTTTGTTAGAATGCAGGCGATTTTTTCGTTTACCACCGTATTACCACGTACATATAATGTGGCGTTTATATGTACGTGGAAATATCAAATTGCTACCAGGCACGGATCTAGGGAGCAGCCGCCTTGGGGAGTAGTCTAAGAAATTATAACCCGAAATAGTTAATAATAACACAATAATTGCATCGCCATCCTTGATGATGACGGACGATCTGCATTTGACTCCTAAGATATTGCGCACTTGTCTTGTTCGCGAGAATGGACTAAGGCCCGAGTAATATCTTTCTTCTCAACCAACATCCACTCGTTGGATTTCACGTTGACTTTAGACATGGCAGAAATGGTTAACGCGTTTCGAACAGTCCGTGGTTGGGGAAGCACTGACTGTCCTGGTGCCTGTGGCAGAGCAACCATCGTGGTAGGAACAATATGGGACTACGAGATCATGGCTATTTTGATAATGGCGGAAGACGGAGACACGCCACACCAACCTGACCATATTTTCTTTGACGTCAAATCGGTCCACCACCTCTATGACGATATCCGACACTTTCTTTGGGTCCAAAAGCATCTTTGCAGGCTTGTGTAAGAATGCAGGTGATTTTCCCCAGTCAACGAATTAGTCGCCAACACTTTGTAAAATTATATACTTTAATTTATGAATGCAGGCGAATGTTTCCCAGTTCTTACTTATGCCTTCATAACTGCCCTTTTCTTGGTTGGTTGCCTCCAAATAGTTTAGTAGAGGCGCTTTTCCGCCATGAGTTGTTTCTTCTTAATACGCATCTTCAACATTTTAGCTTCGTCGACACATTTGATAGTTATCACGCTCCCGAAATAAAAATATCTGTCTCTAGAGTCTCTAAAATTGCCATTTTGACATTTCCAAGAAAAAACGGATAATTTGCTAAACTTATTCTGTAGATTTAAAGTTATCTGACGATAAAAAAAATACATAATCCTTTCTTGCGGAATATGTCACAGGAGTCAAGCTTTATTTTACAAAGTATAAGTATTATGACATTAATAAATTATTACACCCGCAACCTTTTAAATCCCATTCCCCCCCGATGGGCCTCCGGTACCCTCACTCACTCGGCGAAACACAGCGCAAGCGCTGCTTCACGCCGGTTTTCTGTGAGGCCGTGGTATCACTCCGGTCGAGCCGGCCCATTCATGCCGAAGCGTGGCTCTCCCACGGAATAGGTCTTCCAAAAGATCGTCCCTTTCTTTTGGTTCTTTTACAAGGATACGGCGTTTATCTGTACGTGGAACTAGCAATTTGCTAGCCTCCTGGGGGAGAAATTCTTTGCCCGGGAACCCAAAATAGTTATATAATCGCTCGGCTCCCAATCCTACGAGCTTGGTTCTAAGTCGAATCCCTCCGTACAATTTGCCACAATGTCCTCTAAAGGATCGTCCCTTTCTTTCGGTTCCTCTACAGGGATGCAACGTCTATCTGAAGGTGCATAGAATAGATCGGCCGCCCTGGGCAACAAATTATAAGTTACATATAACCATTGCCCGGGACCCCGAAATCGTTAATAATTTCAAAATCACACAAACCTCATAATCGGAATCTGATACATCGTCCACATCGCTCGGCTCCCAATTCAACGAGCTTGGTATTAAGTCGAACCCCTCCGTGATATTCTCCACAATGTCTTCTAAAGGATCGTCCCTTTCTTTCGGTTCCTCTACAGGGATGTGGCGTTTATCTGTACATGGAAATATCAAATGGCCAAGCACGGATGTGGGGAGCGGCCACCCTGGGGGGCAGGTTAAGAAATTCATTACCCGGCAATCTGAAATAGTTAATAATAATCGTTCGGCTCCCAATCCGATGAGCTTGGTTCTAAGTCGAATCCCTCCGTGCAACTTTTTATGTGATAGGTGGCAGACTAGCTGACGGATTACCTGATGGTAAGCAATTGCCGTCGCCCATGTACACCCGCAACATCAGTGAAGTCACAAGTGCGCTGCCAACCTTTTAAATCCCATTCCCCCCCAATTGGGCCTCCGGTATCCTCACTCACTCGGCGAAACACAGCGCAAGCGCTGCTTCACGCCGGTTTTCTGTGAGGCCGTGGTATCACTCCGGTCGAGCCGGCCCATTCATGCCGAAGCGTGGCTCTCCCACGGAATTGGTCTTCCAAAGGACCGTCCCTTTCTTTTGATTCTTGCTACCAGGCACGGATCTAGGGAGCGACCGCCCTGGGAACCAGTCTAAAAAAAACCATTGCCCGGGAACCCGTAATAGTTAATAATAACGCATAAATGCCTGTATATAGGGGATAGTTCCCTTACACGTGGTGGTAAGTATGTAGCAGTATGATGATGTAATTAGGTTTAGATGTAGTTGTTGAGTAGAAGTAGGTAGGATAAGTTGTTCGGGAGCGGAATATTAGATGAGCGTGTTTATTGCACTGAAAAAATATTACAATTGAGTTAAGCGTTGACGGTAAATTGCGATGTCGGCGAAACGTAATATGTCGAGTGTGCTCGTACAATGCAGATTGATGTTCATTATACATAGGTAGATAATGTTTCAGAGTATGTTTAGGTAAGTGTATGAGATAAGTGCACTTTTCTTAGTATTTTAACAGATTTATTGCACAAAATATGCACTTATCCCATCGCACTATCCCTGACATATCCAAACTATAGTGACAAGGTTCTAAAACTTACAAGGTCCAAAATTGCAACTAAATGTGTCTGTGATATAAAGTCCAATCCCTTTTTCTTTTTATGGTCATAAACATTTTGCTCATAATCTGGTTGGTTACTTACAAATACTTGAGTAGAGGCGCTATTCCCTTGAGGCTTGAGCCGCTTGTTTCTCCTCCATAAGTTGTTTCTTCTTAATACGCATCTTCAACATCTTAGCTTCGTCGGCACATTTGGTAGTTATCACACCCCTGAAATAAAAGTAAAAATTATAATTGTACAAGTAAAAGTTACGCAAGAAATATTCTCAACTATGTGCCCACGACTTCGTACGCTTGAAAATAGTTTGAATGTTTTTTTCCACGTCTTCGCAACATTTTTCATTGCTCTGTTGGTCGTATCGTGATGGTATATAGCCTACAGCCTTCCTCGATAAATGGGGCTATTCAACATAAAAATACATTTTTTCAAATCGGACCAGTAGTTCCCGAAATCCCGAGATTAGCGCATTCAACCAAACCAAGTCTTCAGCTTTATAATATTAAGTATAGATGATAAAAGAAATTGTACCAACCTGACCATATTTTCTTTGACGTCAAATCGGTCCACCACCTCTATGACGATATCCGACACTTTCTTTGGGTCCAAAAGCATCTTTGCAGGCTTGTGTAAGAATGCAGGCGATTTTTTCCCAGTCAACGAATGAGTCGCCAACACCCTGTAAAAATATACTTTTAGATATCTCGATACTTATTACATTTAAAAAATATGAAACAAGCGAATAATTGTTTGAAAACAAACATTTGGGTTCCATGTTCGAACGCCAATAATGCTTTATGTCGAAAAATAAGCTCAAAGTGCGTTCTAGCAATCACGGAACTTAGCAAAATTTGCGTTGTGGCTCTCATGTTATACGATAACGCATTGTGGCAAAAGTTTCAGTCAGTAATTTTTCAGAGCAAACACTACAAGGGCGTGTATAGATGAAAAAAAAATGGAAACAAAAGAGAACGATTCATACTTGCGCGAAAAAGCCGCCAGCAAAAGGCCACGAGTAGCTACAGTGTAGGACTGCCACTTAATTTTACGGAATTTATCCTTGGGCAGAAGAGTTTTCCCACTTCCAATCGGCACCTGCAAATTAATAAGTCATTAATATTATAGAAATAACAACCAAAGATTTGATTTTATGGAAGCTAACCCTTTGTAAGTAACTGAAAATGTTCGAATTCGGAAAAGTACTGATCCGGCAGCTAGTAAATTAAAAAAAATGAATTACCAATGAATCGTCTATCGGGCTGTGCGTGGGCGCATCTATGTTTTCAAACTGGTTGCTTATTAGAATATTGTCGTCGGAGCGGTCAAACACTTCCATGTTTTCATTTTCGACGTTTTCATTTTCGACGTTTTCATTTGCATTTTCCTCATTACAGTTTTGGGCTTCACCATTTGTATCATTTGTTTTATCTTGTATAGTCTTATCTTGTTCTTTTGTCGTGTTATTTGGTTTGTTGTTTGTCTTTTTGATTTGTTTCATGCGTCGTAGGTTCTTCGCCACCATAAAAACTTTTTTCATACCCGTTTTGCCGAATTTCTTTCTAAGAGGCTGTGGCAAAACCTTCATCGATCGGCCGTAGACTTTTTCGACACTACGGATTGATCGACAGAAGTTCTTGAATGTCTTTATATTCATTGATACATTAACGGTGTCATCCTGTTGAACTTGACGACTTTCACGGTCGTCTATGTTCATTTGGTTACTTTCGTTCTGTACCAACTTTCTTGGTTTTTTACGCAGTTGTGCCTTGGACCAATTACTACGTGGGATTTTTTTGCAAACGTATTTTGGACTTCTACGTAGTTGGTCACTGGGTGGCAAAGAAAACCTTACAGTTTTTTTTTCACTAGTAGGTAATTCTTTGGGTAATTGATTAACTGCATTTTCGGGCGTGGCAGGTGGTTCTTGATTGGTTGTATTCGGCGTAACTGGCTGCGCTTTGTTATTCAGATTAGTTTTCTTTGGCATAGCCACTACAGCCTGTACCTTGCCGTCGGGCGACACAACCAGTCTCCTAGGCGCAGGTTGCTTCCTGCTCGTGCGGCAACCAACAGCGGCTTTTATATTATCCTTGTTGGATGGGTTGAGTACGTTCTTCGGCACGGGCTCAGGTTTTTTAGCCCCTTGGCGCTTCGGTGTATTAAGCTTGCGCCTTTTCCTCTCGTCCTGGTTAGCAAAAAAAAAAAAAACTTATGAATTTACGTTCAGAAAAATACGACTTTGATTACAAATCTTATTATTCGATAATAATTTGTTGATTTTGTTCGTAGGCACGGTTCAACAAAGTCCTGTATCTTAATCCAATTGGAATATTGAATAAATACAAGATTTTATAAAATATTGGTTAAAGATACGGAATGAAATCCTATTAGAATTTTTGACAAGTAAAAGCGGCTATTCACTCACATGCCTGTAAAACGGAACAGTCCCTAGCTTTCAGTAGTTTTGATTATGATATGACTATTAAAGGGTTAAAATGTTGATTATGATACTGTAAAAAAATGTTTGTGTCTAAATTTAGAATATTATGAGACATATTTTTGCAATAAAAATAATTTCAAAATCACCCAAACCTCATAATCGGAGTCTGATACATCGTCCACGTCGCTGGGCTCCCAATCCGACGAGCTTGGTTCGAAGTCGAACCCCTCCGTGATATTCTCCGCAATGTCCTCTAAAGGATCGTCCCTTTCTTTCGGCTCCTCTACAGGAATGCGGCGTCTATCTGTACATGGAAATATCAAATTAGGCAGGGCATGTATGCATTATCAGGCAGGGATGTAGGGGGCGGCAGTAGGTATGAGAGGAGCGTCAAATGGAAAGAGAACGCTTTGTGAAAAAAAAATGTTCGAAAGACAATTAATTTAATTTATTTATTAATTTGATATGAAACGCGCCGTTGGTTTATTAAACACATCTTACGAAGCAACAGAACGATCGAACATCAAGCTCGAACATGAGCGCGTCGACCTCTTTTAAGGTACCTTTCTCAAACCCTAAGAAGGGGCGCGGGCACCACAATAAAATTTTTGCCCCGCTTGGAAAAAATCATGTCACTTAAAAAAGATCCGTAGCCGATTGCTATGAAATCAAGAAAAATATGAACCGCCTTGTCGCTAGTTGATTACTTATAATGACAGAAAAGATTTAACGGAACTGAAACTTAAAAACCCATTGTCGTATCTAGGGTAATTTTCCAGGGGCGGGTGTGCGCCCCTCTACGCTACGCGCATGAAAAAACTTGAGTCGCTTGAGACGCCCAATCGCGCGCGGGGAGCGACGAACTTACAAAATGGCGTAGACGCACGTGGTAATTCCGATTCGCAATTTCGCATACGACCAATCGTATGGGAATTAAGTAAAGGCATTGTGTGAATCTATGTTTGGTATAAAATTTGAACAGCCTGCTTTCAACCGGTTGCGGTGGAAATCTATACAGTTTTTTTATAGTTGATCAAACAAATAGGGATGATGACTTCTAAAATTTTCCTAACAGGACCACTATCAAATTCTCAAAAAAAAAAAAAAACTCCCTCATACTAAATGACTGATTGTGCTAATTTGTATGGATACCTAAAGGATTTTTTACAATACCTATTTATGGAAAGTTATTGCATTTGATTGAGCTGTAGAATGTGTCATAATAATGCAAATTTTCACTAGTTTAAGGCAGATTTTTTGCAATCTTGATTGTCATAATTTTTAAGAATTATTAAGGATGTTTGTGACAAGAAAACTCCGCCAAGATTTGGTACCGTTTATTAAAACAAACCGATTAATATAAACCGATGCAACCGTTGTCTTATAAATTCCATTAAAAATAGGATTAATTCTATATCGCGCCTTTATTATTAATTATTTTCACTGATAACTTTACAAAATGAAAATGTGTTAGGTCATAGAAATACCTACATAGTATTAAGACATTTTGAATTTGATAACGTTGATGATATTTTTTTTTCATACCGGATGCACAGCACCCCGTGGGAATTTCCAAACGGACGCATCAAAGTTGCACTAGCACGGGGCTTTTGATTTCGCGCGCTTTGATTTTCCCATTAGAATCGATGCTATGGTGCACAACATACGGATCAAAATCGGAAAAAAAAAATCGTATTGGAATATGGCTCGTGTATTCGAATATTTATTCTACTTCACTGTATCACACACATTGAACATGGGTTCTGTTTTCGTATAATTTAAGTAATATAGCATACTATTTAAAAAGATCTACTTACTTGGACGGGCGACCAGGACAGTACGAATCGGTCCATCGCCATCCTTGATGATGACGGACGATCCGCATTTGACTCCTAAGATATTGCGCACTTCGCGAGAATGGACTACGGCCCGAGTAATATCTTTCTTCTCAACCAACATCCAGTCGTTAGATTTCACGTTGACTTTAGACATTGCAGAAATGGTTAACGCGTCCCGAACAGTCAGTGGCTGGGGAAGCACTGACTGTCCTGGTGCCTGCCTGCGGTAGAGCAACCCTCGTGGCAGGAACAATAAGCTTGGGTCTCTCAGGTAAAAGTTTCATTACACCCTAAATGCAGCTATTGCAGCCCCCGCCCCGCCCGGCCGAACAATAACCATTTCGCCATCGGTCCCAGTGTGTACAAAAAACACATCCTTTTTTGCAATGCGTTTCTCAGTAAGATTGTGCCCAAGCCCGGCTTTGTGTGCGACCGAAAACTCATTGTCTCTCGGACGCAGTCCAAGCAAAGATAACAAGGGACTAGAGCATAACTATAAAAACAATGCTTTGCTATTGTTCCAAACACGGTCCCTTAAAATACAATAAAAGCAGACTGTAATATTCCATTGCTGAAACCACGTGACAGTTTAAAATTTCTGTACAATCCGGAATCATCCATAGTCATTTAAAAAAAATAGCACGTGTTTCCTGCCCATGTCCCTATTGACCAAACCCATGACAAAAAAGATAATGGTATGTTGGCTACAGAGTTGGTTGGGAAGAGCGAGAGAGCCTGAACAGATTCAACGAATGAATAGAACTGATAAATGTTATGGCTATGGCGTCACTTTTATACCATGAGAAGAAAAAAATAGAAAAAAATCGACCAATCCCGTGGCTTGTTTTTAAGTCAGCGCCATCTTCAGTGTTTACCTATATTTTTTTATTTATTTTTGTTGTTTTTTTTTTGTCAAATTCATTCAATTGGAATATTTTGATTTTCAAAATAAGAATTTAACGTTGCGTTAGATAGTGGGTAGTTTGTAACTGTTCTCAGATTTTAACATATTTCAGAGTACGTACTTCAGGAAAAAAAATATTGAGCTCAGTTTAGCAGTTGCATGTAACTTTTAGAACAATAGACATCAAGTTCGGCGCGGTACATACCCGATGTACAAAGGCCTATACTTATCCATAGGAACACTACCTGCTGCATACTTAAGTAGGCAAAGAAACTGCATTTCAAATAAATAAAAATACTATGCAAAATGACACAAGTTAGTAAGGGCAAAACGAGTGAAATTAATAAATTATTAAAAATCAATCAACGTGCTTGATATAGTAAAAAAAAATATACAAAATTTTCTTAGAACTCGTAGAATGTAGAATTTACTCTGAATTGTTAAATAATAACTAAAGACGTTTTTAATCCCATTTTCTTAAGCTTTCGAAGTTTTTAGTCTTAATCGCCATAACACTAAAACGCTTTTACGTTACGTTTAATCTAAATAATTAGACATACACCTTCACTTATCTCAAAATTCTTCAATTTATAGTAATGATAGTGGTTTTAACGTATTGCATAGTGTTCATGCTTAATAACTTGATTGATTTACAATGCTCATTTAATAAATAAGCCATGTTATACCAGGTCAAAGTCGAGTGTTCATCCCAGTGAACATTGTCAAATAGGTTATGAAGGGTTTATTTTTGCTTAATTTTATTTCAGTGGACTAATTTCTTTATTTAGAGTTATTTTTTATTTTGTTTAGGTTGTTGGCAGCTTGATACTGTAGGTATATTGCATGAAATGTAATATCAGAACAATGTTTTGTTACTGGTAAAAGTGGACATAATTGGTTTCTAAATTTTCATGCAAAATAATTACATATTTTAATTTAGCGGTTGTTTGTAGATTCAAAGTTTGTAGTTCCAAAGAATATTTTTTATTAAAATCATTTTTACTTTTTTATTTAAACCCTGAAGAATATATTTTATAAATGTGGGAGCTGTTTTTTATTATTTAGTGCGACTTGTCCACTTTAAAGGTACATGAACAAAAATATATCATTTTTTCTTTAAAAAAACACTAAAACGCTTTTACGTTAAGTTTGATCTAAATAATAAGACATACACCTTCACTTATCTCAAAATTCTTCTATTTCTTGGAGGTTTTCAACTGCTTTGTCATGACTGTTTCAATATCTTTTCTTTTTTCATAAAGGTTTTTTGGAAAGGGCCAGAAATCGTATAAATCCGAGGAGTATGGATAGAGTACCTAGATCATCCGCAATTAATCAGAAGTGGGGTATTATGACTTGGCGTGTAATTGTGATAAGTACAAACAAAGCGATTCGTCATTTTTCTATGGAGGCTTGCTAGCTTCCATATGCCGCCATTTTAGGAACTATCATTTTGAATGCAACTGAATGCGTATTACACGTGTAGATTGACTGGGTCTTCAATTAATGTAAATGTTCTCATAATACTGTATGTATTTACAAAAAAAAAGTATATTTAATATCCGTTGCCTAGGACCCATAGTAGGTACAAGCTTTGCATAGTTAGGGACTAGAAGCGTAGTGTGTAAAATGTCCAAGGTTGTTATATCAATAATGGCGATTTTGACCTCCAAATATATCGGGAACTTGGTATTAACTAGGTATTACATCTCATTTTTTGCTTGTTACAGTATCCTTCTCCTTAGCCATTTCATCATCATGCGCGGAAACTTTAAGAAAAAAGCAAAATGGCGGCATGGATATGCCACAAAGGTTCTATCCCCTTTGTCCCAGATTCGTTTGTCAAAATTCACGAACCTATACGTGATTTAAATAGTCAATTGTTCGTTTTAACGAATAATTTTTGCCACTGTTTTGCACATTTTAATAGTCCCTCGTCGGTTTGAGCGAATGATTTTCTTCTTCACTTTTTGTTCGTTTTCCACCATATTTGAAGTCGAGAAGACGTATTGACCATTGCTATTCTTTTATTCGATTATTTTCCACTTGTAACATGCTTGTAGTGTGTAACACTTTTAAACAGTCAAACACATAATCGTTATAAATTACTTTCAACATTCTTCAAGCATTCTTTTAGTAGGTACACAGGTCTTTGCAAATCTACAAAATTCAGATGCGTGTAGTACACGACCTTAGAAGTTGTTATTTCTCTGTATCAGCCAACATTTACCTAAATTAGAACTTAATTGGTCATATAGTAACTACGAGTATAAATAAATAAGTAGGTAGTTAATCAGACTATGATTACAGTAAGTATTCCTTCATTAAATGAAAGTAAGAATCATAATAAATTGTTTAAGTATTGCTTATACATATACTCGTACTGAAATAATAATAGATATTGTTTATACCTTCCCCGTGTTTTGAAATTTAGTAGGTATAATACCGGCCTCGAACCTAAATTACTTAGGTACTGTGTACATTTCATAAGAAGTATTGTCAACCAAGCTTCAACGCCTAAAACTGGAATGATATTTAAGCCGGTCGATATTTTTTGTCAAGTTGCAGTGTTTCTTTGGGATGCTATTGAAGATGCAGAAACTAGGTACTTGCAAAGATTAACGCAGGTAATAGTTAGAACAATAAATTGAGGGTCCAGTGCGTCCGGCGCGCACCTACCTGGCTTACAATGGAGCGCATTACAAGGGTTTCATGGTCAAACTATACACTACCTGCTGCATAATGATGTTGCTAAGCAAGACAAATGGCAATTTCTAAGTAAGTACAGTCGAGGAACTTCAGACTTTACATGTTTGTTGCAAAATAACACTAATCATAACTGCATTATGACTTGCTGTCTTGAGCTTGAGTGCTGTCGACCGCAGACCTACAAGATACAGACGGTTTGAGTTTAAAAAAAATTAAATGTTTGACTGGACTGAACCTTAGACGATAAATTTTATTTTTGCAAAATAACACTTATTATAACTGCATACGATTCACAGAGTTGAGCTTGATGTGCTGTCGACCGCACAGACCCACAAGATGCAGATGGTTTGTGTTTCAAAAAAATTTAAACGTTTGACTGAACTGAACAAAATCAATCATTTGGACAGTTGCATCAGTTTTTCATGCAAACTGAACGCACTTATTTTCAGATATAGGCTCTGATTTCAAAATCTGTGCACGACTCAATCTATACTAATATTATAATTAGTGACCGACCGAATATTCGTTTTCGTTTTCGTTTTCGGCCATTTTCGGCCAAAAAATGGACATTCGGCCATATTTTCGTTTTCGGCCAAAAACCAGCCGAAGCTTCGGCCAAACCGAATATCAGAAATACGTGAATAAGATGGTGACGTTTATCGTTCCGATATCTTCGGGAGTGAATCTGATGCACTCATGGTTCCAATCAGACTTGAACGGACGCGGTATTGTCACACTCTTTTGAAGTTTTGAAGTGAGGTTACATTGTAAAGGGTGTCCAGCGAAAATTTTCCAAGTTCAAAATTGAATACAAATAAAACCAAAGAGTTTTCATTAAGTTTAATTGTTTCAAAATAGAGTCTAATGCGGATTTGAAATACGCCATGAGTCACTGGTCGATGTGTCTTGCTTCACAGCAAGAAGGTGTCTCACCACACACGGAGAGTACCTCGAAGGAGACACTGAGGACTATTTTTTCTAGCCGCCTCGGTCACCAGATCTCACACCATGCGACTTTTTCTTGTGGGGATATCTCAAGTCAAAAGTTTACAGCAAACAATCCTTAAATAATTCAGGTTCTGTAAGAAAATATCCGCCGTGAAGTTGCAGGAAAATTATTAGCGCGATTTGCTCTCGCATAGTTGCGAATGTAAGGGTCCGGCTGTGAGAGTGCCTATAGTAAAACGGGCATCATTTAAAAGACATTGCCTATAAAAAAAAAAAATCCGCATTGTTAAACTCCAGTTTGCATTAGTAATAAATAATAAAAAATCATTAATTTATTTGTATGAATAATTTTTGAAGTTGAAAAATTCCCACTGGACACCCTTTATTTTTTCAACCCTCAATATTTCAATATACACCGGAAATAATATTCTACTAAGAATTCATAATTCAATTTTTTGTGTTTTAATGCCGGTTTTTTTTAATCAATCCTTATCAAAAACAACTGTCAAACATCTATGTTTTTGGTCAAAACATTATCGGTTTTCAAAGTTTTTACATAATTTCAGATTGAAATTTGAGAGTTGAAGGTCATTTTCGTTTTCGTTTTCGTTTTCGGCCGAAAATGAGACTGCAGCCGAAGCTTCGTTTTCGTTTCCGTTTTCGGCTGAAAATCCATATTCGGTCGGACACTAATTATATTATAATCTATAATTATGACAGTTCGATTTTTTCTAGTTATTTATATTTTTCAAATTCGTCGTATTGGCCTGCAAGGGTAACAGTTTGTACTTACCTACTTGTTGCTGAATTTTCAAACGTTTTGGCTTTATCTCTGGAAAAAAGTAATTAAAACTTAGGTAGGTAGGTTTTAGAATGACTTGATAGAGCTACTAAGTAGTAAGGTATTTACGCGGTGAAAAGCCATTACATTTCAGGTTCAATACCTGAGTCGCGTAAATAAATAAAAAATCACGTCTGGGTTCACTGTAAATATTTCCAGTCAAAAAAATCTTCCATTATAAATTTTAATAATACTCATTTTGGCGCAGTCGGGTAAAAAGCATCAAATCATTATTTTAAGTTAGTAAATCCGTAAAAAATATGCAGCGTTAGATAATTTTGAGAAACTGTTGTCTGCCAATTTTATTTAAGTGAAAACTTACGTTTTGATCGTGTGTACCCAGTTCTTCAAATGAATTTAAACTGGTCGACATTGTAGCTGATTTAAAGTTAAGTAAGGATGTGTAAAATGATATTATGTGTTCGTGTACAGGGAGGGTAGATCATAATCGCAAATAATTTTGTCTATGGATTAATGTGTTGATGAGAGTGATTTAATTTTATCATGGGCTTAATTTTCTATTAGTTAAATTATTAAGGTTCTGGATTGGTAAAGATATAATATTAATAGTAGGTACGGGTGGTTATTAACTTCAAGATCTTTAACGACAACTGAAGATTGTGGCTGGATAGATTAGAAGAGCATTTTCGAGTCTCAACAATAACGCAATGTGGTCAACACTTGACGGTGTTGTGGCAAATTATGAAAGCAAAAAAAGCGTAAGCGACTTATTCGCGGGAACGCGGGAAACTGAAGCGTCAACGTTCAGCAGTTTTTTTTTTTCGAATGAAACGAAACAGTCAGATCACTTCTCAAATTCTCTCAAGAAAAAAGTCTCTTAAAGCGCCACATCTTTACTCAAATTTAAGTGAAAGGGAGGGATAATATCATTTCAATAAGGCCATTTTTAGCTAAAAAACAATAACTAAAGACTTGGCTGCGTAGCATCATGCCTTTGCATTTTCCTGATAAAGGAAATAATCGAACAAAAAAAGCTGTCAGTGTCAAAAAGTCAAAACAAACAAGTTGTTTTTTGAGGTTAGAAATTAAATTTTAACAAAGTTATTATGGTATCTGGTTATGTGAGTGTAAGATAATCTTACACTCACACAATTGATTCGTTTTATACTTTAGACGCAGACCAAATTTTATTGTAAGGATGGCAGCGGCAACATTGGTGTCAAAGAAAGCTGTTAAAAAGGGAAAAATTAAGAAGACACTTAAAAATGTGTTGTGCCGTCCTGACCCCGTATTTTGGTAAGTTTTCTTACATTTTTCAACTGTTTTTTAATGATTAAAGATCCTCGTCGGTCGTTCTGTACCAGTACTAACCTAGCGCGCTTTTGGATTTATTAGCTACAGCAGGTACTTTTTGAACTTTTTCATTCCCTATTAATATACTATTAGTTCATGAATAACAAAAATGTATTACATATATTTATTTTCTTTTTACCACAGGCCCCTCATATCCGATGAACAGAAAAAAATTCTAGAAGTAATTATGAACAATCATAAAATAGATATACCAAAATGGAATAAACCACTCTGGAAAGACATAAAAGTGATTCCGAAGGACAAAAGACCAAAGCCACCTAAAACACAGTAAGTTTCCTTAAATAATGAGCATTCCTTAGATGATGTATATCTAGCTATTTCTTTACTGCTGTGACTAATGCTTTCATATTGATGACTATAATCAGGTGTTGTATTTTTATTTTTTGCAGAAAGCCAGACGGGCTCCTATTTGGAATATCTGAATGTACCAATGCCATTCACAACCACAATTGTGCAGCCATCTTGGTAGACTCTGCAGTCAACCCTCGTACCATAGTTCAGCCTGTAATAGAAACTTGTACGAATGCTAACATACCAGTCATCTGCATCAATGATTTGAAGGCCTTATGTACCTGCAATTTTGGTATACCAACTAGTTGTTTAGGAATCAAAAACAACTGTCTGCCTGATCTCAACAAAAAAGTATTAGAAATTGCAAGTTCTTTCAAATTACCTGAACAAATTAAAAGTAATGAACCAGTGGAATCTATGGATACTAGCAATGCCATAGAGGAAAAAACAGCTGACACACCAACACAATGTCCATACTTGTATAGAAATAATAAGAAAACAAGAGTGTTTATACCATCAGAAGGAATTGTTAGCAAAAATGTTAAAGATTTCAGTGGTCAAGACTTTATTAAATTTGCAGCAAAGATGGAAACACAAAATAAGGACCGGAAGTCATATATGAACATGGTTTTGAAGAAATTGACAAACAATCCTAACAGGGTTCAAGTGAAACAAAAAGATTTTAAATGAGAGACGCTTTATTGTATAATGTAACATTACTATAATGTCAAAAAAAGACATGTATTTTTTATGTTAAGCATTCCTAAAGGAATGTAAGTTTGCCAGTACACAAAAATAACTAGGGTCTTGAATATAATTTTTCATAAGTGTGCCCCTGCATTTCTGTATACTGTAACCAAACTTTACCAATTTTACCCATTCTACAATCTACAATACAATACATGATGTATTGGTAAAATTTGATTTACATATTAATTAATTAAGCTAAACAATAAATCATGATATACTCCATAAAGCACTAATAAGACATTTTATGGAGTATAACCTGGGAGTAGATATATTTATCTTACATTTCAATCGATGCATTGCATTTATAGTTTTTATACAGTTCAATTTAATAAAAATCAAACAATAAGTTGTGTTCAATGTTACACCTATATGATAATGACTATTAGTCCATGATATCTGGCCTTTTTACACCTAAAACATACTAAACAGGAATGACCAAGTCTCCTAACAATTTGAACATGGTGTCAAAGTATGAACATTAAAGACTGTGTAGACTTACTTCTAATTGTGGCCATAACCATAAAGTGCACTTTAGATGTTAAATATACTTCCAGAAAGAAGTACAAGGTATTTACATGAAAATGTTAAGAGTTAAATTTTATATAAGAAGAGTACATACAAATGAAAAAGTAAAGGTTGTTGTTATTTTATTATGATTAACTGGTTAGTTCCCAAAATAATATGATGTTACATTTTATTCGTTATTTTAATATTACTTCACGATATGACTATGAGTAAGTGTATTTAGGATAACAATAAGAATTTATTTAATTATGAATGCTTAATTTCACTGGATGCGGTATTTACAGAAATATCGTGATTTGCAAGGAAGCTACAGTTAAAATCGCACAAGTCATTATAAAATACAAAATAATGATACAAGTAAATTTTATGCATGTCAGTGATAAAATGATTTTGTACATACTCATGATGACGTCCATTTAAAATATAATTAAATAGCTCCGTACACTTCGCAGAAGCGTACAGGAGTGAACATTATCTGAAAATATACAAGTGTATATAAATGCCTACCCGTCAGTTACGACGACCGGGCAGCGGACCGTCGTAATTGGCACAATACTTCCGACCGGCGCGCGCCCCGGCCGCGCCCTCGCCGCCCGGCGACCGCCTCCGAACGTATGCTCGCGATTTCGGGAGCGAAATCGGAAATAATTCGGGCGTCGCGGCGCGCGGCGGCGGCGGTCAGCGCGGCCGCGGCGGCGCCGCCTCGCTCGGCCGGTAGCGCGCCAGGATCACGGCGCACATCGCCTGCGCGTCCGTCTGCTCCGGGAACGCCGCCATCGCCTCCGCCACCTGCGCCTCCGGGAAGATGCCGGCCAGGTGGAAGTGCATGCGGCGCCGCGCGTCCCAGTGCTGCAGCGCGCCCTCGGACGCGCACGGCGAGGGCGGGAGCGCGCGCCACGCGGCCGCCGCGCCCGCCGGGGCGGAGGCCACGCGCGCGGCGGCCGCGTGCGCCGGCGCGGGCGGCTGGCGCGCCAGCTTGCGGTGCGCGCCGGGCTCGGGCTGCAGCTGCGCGCGCTCGAAGTGCGTGGCGAGCGCGGCGTCGGGCAGGCGCGGCGCGGCGGAGTGCGCGCGCGCCAGCGGCCGCTTGGGCGCGGCGCCGGGCGGCGGCAGCGACACGGTGTGCAGCGCGCGCGCCCGCTCGCTGAGCCGCTCGGCGACGGACTTGTGCGGGCGGCCGGCGCGCTCGGGGTGGTGGTACTTGCACTTGTTGCCGTAGGTGCACTTGCGGCCGTAGGGGCAGGCGGGCGGCGGCTCGGCGCCGGCGGGCGCGCGCAGGAAGGCGTCGAGCGTGGGCCCGGCGCGGCCGAGCGGGTCGTCGGGCGGCATGAAGCGGTCGTTGACGAACGAGTACATGAGGATGCGCTCCTCGACGACCTTGCGGAACTCGGGGCTCTCGGCGGCGAGGTCGCGGTAGTTGTCGTTGGAGACGACGACGCCGTCGGTCTCGGCGGCGAGGCGCAGGATGTAGCGGTCGTCGTAGCAGACGAGGCGCTTGCCGCCCACGAGGCGGCTGGGCGTGTAGACGAGCACGCGCGCGCGCTCGAGGCGCTCCAGCGCGTCGCGCTCGGCCACGGGGTTGTCGGGCCGCGACGCCTCCTTGCGCCACTTGGGCACGAACACCGTGACGTCCTTGTGCCCGCGGCTGCGGAACCAGTCCACGCATATCTCGATGCCTCTGCACGAGAACACCTCCTTGTTGCCGTGGCTGAAAACAAAATTATTTGGTTAGTACATGGAAATTTGAATAGATTGCCTTATCAAGAAAATAGCTGAAGACTAATTCCTATAAGAATTTATATAAATCTTGTATGAATACCTCTATTTCTTAGATATGCTTAGATAATACCAATTCGAAGGAATAGACTTCCAATTGGAATGCTTTCGTATTCCAATTGGAATGCTTTCGTCTTCCAATTGGAATGCTTTCGTCTTCCAATTGGAATGCTTTCGTCTTCCAATTAAAATGCTTTCGTATTCCAATTGGAATGCTTTTGTCTTCCATTTGGAATTCTATTTTTTCTAATTGGATGTTGATTCAAAATCACCTATGCAATCGTCACCCGAACTGTCCAAACAAGTTACTCACCTCATAGCAACGTTGCTGCCATCTATAACAATATGCCTCAGCGGCGCGGTCGGGCGGCGGCGGCGGCGACAGCGCTCGTGGCGGCTGCATGGCCGATAGCTTGATCAGCTCAGCCAGCAAGGAGTTCAGTGCAAAACCTTATGGCATTAGCTTACTTCATAGTAACATTGCTGCCATAAATGAAGTTGTGTCTTAGCACGGCGCGGTCGAATGACGGGTCATCATCACCATCACTCAGAGGTACTGCTTATTATATCACAAAACCCATCCATCAGTCCAAGCAAAGTTACTCACCTTATAGTTAGCGACATTGCTGCCATCAATAACAAAGTGTCATAGCGCGGCGCGGTCGGGCGACGGGTCATCATCATCGTCACCCAGAAGCATTATCTACTCATTATATCACAAAACCTATCCATCATTCCAAATCAAGTTACTCACCTCATAGCGACGTTGCTGCCATCAATAACAAAGTGTCATAGCGCGGCGCGGTCGGGCGGCGGGTCATCATCATCAACACCCAGAGGCACTGCTCATAATATCACAAAACCTATCCAAGTAACTCACCTCATAGCGACGTTGCTGCCATCTATAACAATATGCCTCAGCGCGGCGGCGGCGGCGACAGCGCGCGCGGTGGCTGCATAGCCGATAGCTTGATCAACTCAGCCAGCAAGGAGTTCAGTGCAAAAACAATCTCATTGCTTAAGCTTACCTCATAGTGATTGCTTACTTCTTAGCTTGCTTTTGTCTTAGCTCGGCGCGGTCGGGCAGCGGGTCATCATCGTCATCACAGAGGCACTGCTCATTATATCACAAAACCCGGTTGTGTTGTGTTCCGGCAGTTAGAGGTAAGATAGCTAGTTCCTCCGTGATTGAGGATTCCGGGTGAAGCTCGCTTCCACCTTCGGCCTGATCATCACTTACCATCAGGTTACTTACATACAGGCCAAGAGCTTCCTCGTTGTGGTTAAAAAAAACCTATCCATCAGTCTAAGCCAAGAAGCATTACTCATTATATCACAAAACCTATCCATCATTCCAAATCAAGTTACTCACCTCATAGCGACGTTGCTGCCATCAATAACAAAGTGTCATAGCGCGGCGCGGTCGGGCGACGGGTCATCATCAACACCCAGAAGCTCATTATATCACAAAACCCATCCATCAGTCCAAGCCAAACTCACCTCATAGCAACGTTGCTGCCGTCTATAACAATATGCCTCAGCGCGGCGCGGTCGGGCGGCGGGTCGGGGTCGCGCGGCGGCGGCGGCGACAGCGCGCGCGGTGGCTGCATAGCCGATAGCTTGATCAGCTCAGCCAGCAAAGAATTCTGTGGCGGGTCCGGGCCTAATCTCTGGAGAGCCGTCCGTGCTAACTGCTCCGAGTAGCCCAGCTTCACCGCGAACTCAATCTTCGCCTGTGAAATAAATGACAAAATTAAAATGGTTTTAAGCGGGCAGTAGATATTATCACTAACCGTTTCTAGCTTTGGACATGGTGACCATAATTGAGAATGTTACTAGGTATGCAAAATCACTTGTAACCTATGTTACAGTTAAGCTTTTACATATACAAATACATTTGTTTTTATTTCATTCAAAAATACCAAGTAGTTATGATTTTATAGGCATTCAAAGTTCGCTTAAATATCGAGTCCCGCCGACGGTCACGTGACCCCGCGTGACGTACATTCACAGTGTCCGCTCACTAGACAACGGATATAAACATACTTAAATACATTTTTTTTTGTAAATACATACTTATTATACATATTAACATCCAGACCCATCACAGAAATTAAAATTTAACCAAACCCAAACTTGATGCGATTATGTCGTTTTATTGCGCATTACCTTCCAGCTCCATCATCAGACCCTGATTACTGTATAGAATTGAAGTACTCATCAATACAAAACGAACGAGCAAAAACTCGATGGATTTAAGTCGTTTTATTATAGAGTTCCTATGGCCACCTTCCAGCTCCATGTCATCATAATATTGCATGGTCATCCAAATCACATGTGTATGCGAAATTTCAGCTTAATCGGTTGTCCGGAAGTGGGTCTTAATTCAGCTTGCAAGATTCCACCCATACAAATATGAGCCAGTAACTGTACTATGACGTCACGCGCATAAAATGGCGGGCCGGCCGCCGCCCGCACTTTTAAAATTCAATATCTTGGAAACTAATTGACGTATCGAAATAATTCTTTCACGTGTAGTTTTTTATTTTTAACAGAGAATACAGAAAGCTAAAATACAAAATTAGTGAACATTCTTCATTGCTTCGGAAAAATTAAGGTTATCCTTACGCTTCGCGATGGAAATCAACAGCAGAGCTTGACACGTGTATAAAAAGTGTGATACCTATTTTCTGTCTTTGGAATTGGAATCCTCAAGCTTCTGAAATTTATGAGAATCCAATAAGCTTATGGAAATCACTTCAAATCTTATAAGAATCTCGAGCTATGCTTTCTGGATCTACAAGTTCTAATTAGACAGTTGGTTATTGTTAATATTAAGTTTTTAGTTGACCTTCTGAGAAACTGTATTGCGATATTCGTGCATTCGTTACGGATCATTGAACGCCCTCGCATAACTTCTACACACATTACTTGAATAATTTTGATAAATCCGTCCAATGCGTGGATTACTGTGTGTAGTGTAGTAGTGGCCTAGTAGACAATAGTAAAACATCTCGAGCCTTTCGAAAGAGGCGCTAGTATAATGGGGGGGTGTTAATAACCTGAATTCTGAAAACGCCGCGCTTGGCCCAGGAGGTCTATTCCACTTTGATCACCTAGATTTAGATCAACCAGGTGATCAAAATGGACTTTAGGCGACACTTTGGTGTCATTTGATCACCTATGGATAAGATTAGCTATAGATCAAAGTGGACTTCTTATCCATGGGTGGCCAAAAACACCAGTGTCACCTGGAGTCCACTTAGATCACTTGGATGATCTAATCCAGGTGATCGTGGTATAGACCCCCTGGGATAATATGAAGGAAGATTCTATTCTTCTTACCGTTCTAGACATAGTCCGATGGATTAGCAAGCTGAAGTGACAATGGGCAGGGTACATAGCCATAGTACGCAGAACTGACGACCTAGGGGGCAGCAAGGTTCTGGAGTGCAGGCCACGTACCGGAAAGTGCAGCGTAGGACGTCCACTCACAAGGTAGACCGACGAGTTCATAAAGGTAGCAGGAAGACGCTGGAGGCGCTGGATCTGCATCCGCTACCAACCGGCCTTTGTAGAAATCATTGGGGGAGGCCTTTGTTCAGGTGGACATCCTATGGCTAAAATGATGATGATGATTCTTCTTACCTGGTTAGGCTGTGGGACTGAGACTGTGACGTACTCCGCGAACTCCGCGGCAAGAGTGTCCGACGGCGTCCGGGAGGCGGCGCGATGTGCGCCCTCGTCTTCGCACTCCGAATCATAGCTGCTGTCCTCGCCGCGCTCGCCTGCCCAGCCCAGGGATGATTCCACATATTTCTGGAAACAAAAACAGGTGAGTTAGATAAAATTCTTAAACTTTTTTACTCGTTGTTAGTTTAACTTTCGACTTTTGCCTGACTTATAAAAGTATAATTATATATTATATTTTAGGTTTATCGAACTTTGAGAAGTAGATCGTCAAGATTGGATCATACAGACACATCCGGATATACCTATGTTCTTCATTCAGAGACATCGGGATAAATAAAGCTCAGAAAAGCTTAGTTTTTATAGAGGAGTCATCATCATCTACTAGACAGGTTGTGAACGCTGCTGAAGCAGCAATAAGAAGAACTCTGGAAGTTCATAAAGAATCGATAAGTGGATGTTTTTGATGAGAAAATGTGTTTTAAAAGAATGCAACTAGACTTCCGCAATAGCCAATGGTTGATCAAAACAATTTATTTTCTGTTATGTGCGCACTGCGCACGCGAATCTCAGTATTGATTTATTGATTGAGCAAAATAAAATTTATCTAGCCAGATATTCTGTGGCAAGGAAATCCCAGCATTAGAAAATGAAAAGTACAAGAAAAAGAATATAATTTTAGAACAAAAAAACCCAGTAACTTTTTTTTCATTGAACATCATTGCCAAAAGCACAATGTCTTAATAGGTTCATCATGTTTTCTTCTTTGCATTATAAACTACCTATTCGTATTTATTGCGCACTTTTTTATTGATCTGCTCCATTTTTAACAACTGTGGTAACAGTACTTACATTCTTCCGACTTTATCGATTTAACTTAATATTTCAGCGGTGTTGAATGTAGATTAATCTACACGGACGGAAGTGGCAAAACCTTGCTAAGGATGTTATCAAGTAATTTGAAAGAACTACTTAATTGGTCGCGCTTTTCTATTGCCAACAGATAAAAATCAGGCGAATAGAATAAATTTTATACCGGCGATAATTTATCGATGATCAAATTTAATATTTCACACAACCGGCGCTGGCGCAGGGTCATCAGGGCGCCGAAGCGGATCTACGGATGATCATTGACCTTTAGCGCGTGCGCAACTGTCGAGTGTACCGGTTGTAATTCATTATTTCACAAAAATCTATAAAGACGAGATTGTCTTGTTTACATAGTAACTTAATATACGATATTGATCTAACATTCTCCGGCTTACCGGCGAATAAAAATATTGCTTAGTCATAGCAAACATCCGCATGGAGACCTAGTTGGCTGCGAATCTGAAATTAAAGTTCAGATAACTGCGGAGTGCAACAAGCCTCGTAGGTGCGATAATGCGTCGGGCGGTACCTATTTGTAGAGAAACTGTAAACCGCGTTTCGAACAATAGAGTTAACGCACGTTACCCACGATCTTTTTAGAAAATCTTATCAAGAAAAAGCCGGAATTAAAAACTTGGAAAAGGAAACGTAATAACAATTTATGTAAGTGGCAATAAATAAAAATCAAGAGGTTGGTTCAAGCTAAACTTCGGTCTATCATAAGACAGGTAAATTACGAAGAAGTACCTATTTAAAATCCAAGATCAAAAGATTTTCTCTTAATCCCGTATGTGGCGCGGTCATAATCGTTATTTTTGAAATTCGGTAACGTTTCAGCGGTTCTTTGATATCCGTGACAATTTTGGAAAGTTCTATCGCCAGTTCAGGCTTAGTAGGTCTCTGCGGGAGCCACATCCGGGCTATAAGGTACGCACGGAAGCGGCCCGCCTTACCGCCTAACTGCCTGCACAGCCGGATACGACTTTCTAAAAAATATGCGCCAGCGCAAGCAGCGCTGATCGACCGATCTGTTTCACCGGCTCTCCGGCACTTTACCATAACTTTTTGTTAGATACTATACAATCGCATAATTCACGTATCAAATAAACAGTGTTGTTTTGTTACGATGTTGTTTAGATTGAATATTATTTATTAGTTGCTAATTCATAAAAGTAGAACCTGCATGGGTTTCGCGAGGGTTTACTTTTTGGTTTTGCGGAATCTTAATTACCTACCTATTAAGATTATTGTTAAAATTGATGGCAATTGAATGAAATCCATGAATAGTACGGTAAAAAATACTGGAAATGGACACGCTATCTTATTTAATTTTTTACTCTTAATTTTATTGCGTTGGATTGGAAGAGTCAAAGTTCTATAAAATTTGAAGATATCCCATTAAAGGGCATGATTAGGTACATGCATTATGTCAGGCTATAGCTGAAACTAAATAACATGTTCTACATAATTCATCTATTAGATAATATCAATACAACATTCAAATCAGATCCAAATTGCTAAAGCCGCACTGTGTGGTGTATTCTAATTTGTACGGCAAACATTCAGCATTTCCTTGACGGTTTTTCAACCAAATACCCATTGGGTATACCCGGGGAATATCCACCTTAGCAGTTCCCATTCATCAATCACTCTTTCATTCTAGTTTTTCTCGAGTAATCGCTAAACGATCCATTTGGTAGAGTTCAGTATGTAAAAATCATTGAGCAGCGTTACGCTTGTGGTGACCTAGTTAAATTTGGAGGCCGTTTCGTGTCGTGACGACGACTGCAAATCAACCAGATAATTTCTCAGCAGTTCTCTAAACATCTGCTAATTGTACTTAGACTTGCATTGTTCAGAATTTCGAACGTAGGCCGCAAACCTTGTTTGGCTTTAGTTAAATTTGAAATGTTGTTAAAATAACCTGGTTGGTACCCCTGATTACTAAATAGTGTGCCGCTAACGTCATGGGCCAAATTACCAAGTCCATTATGACGCAGAAATCTAACAATCCTATTCGAATAACTTCTAAGTAAAACGAATGCAGGGCACTGGACGGAGGTGCATGTATCACGCGCAGGCATAGTCATTTTAATGCTTAGGTAAATAAAATTCTCTCACGAGCTTACAATAAGCTAAATACCAAAACAGCATAATTATCTAATCAGGTTATCAGTTATGTAATGTAATGACGATAATACTAAAAAGTTGATTTTTACAAAATGAACTTTGGGCTTTTACGCTATCGCGAATATTATAACATCAAAAATAAATATTATAGATTTTTTTTGCATAGTGAACTTTGATTTTTCAGCAGACAAACAAAATCAGTAGGTACCTACTGTTGATGATATTGGTTATGGCAGTATCGCAGCAGCGCGCAGTTTAATTGCTTTATTCTATGAAGACAAAGATTAATTTTCTGCGGTCTTTAAGTATTAACTGTATCAAAGAATTCCAAGCACATCTCCACTTATCTAAGCGAAAGCGTTTAAATAACAATCACATCGGATTGCACGTGAATAGAAAAACGTTAGTTAAGTTTCTGCAATCAAATAACATAGACTGACGATCGAATAGCATTCCAATTAATCGATCTTTGTGGTTTTAATACTTATAATAATGCGTTAGCTAATTATATTTGTATTAAAAACTATACTTATTGGTGGCGCTATAGCATAATGATATCTTTCATTTTATAAAAATGAAACCGCACTGACAACTAGAGAATGATCCAGTTAGGATCTGGTCATTTGGGTTAATAAGCGATGATTGAAGAATAATTACGTGTTAATGAACCTAATATTTGACTTTATGTTACGAATGGCGCTATGTTCTATCCTCATGACGTTAGTGTTTGAACTGTTCTGTTGACATGCAGATATAGGCACCGATAATGGTGTTTAACGTTCGATAAAGCAGTCTGGTGGGTGGGTACAATTAGTTCCGTTTGTAGGAGAAATTCTGTCGCGCGTTTGTTGTAGTGATAACATTGACCAATAGGGTGGGAGGATCGGGGCGACGTCGGCGCTCGCGCCATGTGGCGTCAGCGGCGAACAGGATGCGCGCACGCGACACACTTTAAACACAACAACACCGAGATATACGCACAAACAACACTATTGGGAATATTGTTTCGCCGTTTAACCGAATTGACTTTAATCAACGTTACACAGTGCGCTCGTTTTATAAACACTCAATTACAGAAGTACGTAAAATTTATCATTGAAATAATATTCAGAGAAATAGATGGCAATAAAAATAATACTCAGTCCAAAATTATGATCGTTAAAAACTCAATAAGTATTCTTTCACGTAATGCATTCAATTTATAATCTATGACGATGATAGATCAAGATAAGGAGGAAGATATTTATTTACATAAGATGACTATTATTAGGATGATCTTATTTGTATAATTAATGATAATTTTGTTCTAATATGAATACAAACAGTACGTAAACGTTGATTAGCAATGACGCAAAATTATTTTAACTATCACTTAATAAGACCCCGACTTTGACACGAGATAAAAATAGATAAGAGGAAATGAAAAATATAATAAAATTCTAAATTCGGCTGTTTACTTAAAAATAAGAAATGATAATTCTACACGAGGACTGGAATCAATGAAAGATCCAGAAAAATACTGTGTGATCCTGACAAACTTACATAAAAAGTTCTTGTGACCTTTCGTCCAACATATTAAGTGCAATGAAATCGCGTTACTCAACAACATTGCAAAAGCGAGAGCGTATTCGTCCTCGTAGTGGTCCAACGAGACAGGTGACTCTGTCAACAAACTATTAACGTAATATCTTCGCAGTGGTTCATATTTCTTACGTATTCTTACTCTACTTATTGCAGTTTTGTATTTCCTTGTTGTTGCCATTCGATGATTGCAGCAAAGACTAGTAGATTGGGAAATAGTTAAATATAACACCTTAGTATTGATTTATCTAGTTCTTCATTATTTTCATTGGAATCAGAACTATTTCTCCTTTGCTGATTTCAATTAATCTAATCTAATAATTTTCAGAAAAGTAATGTAAGTAATATTATACCCAGAATTTTTGTCGAGCAAATTATTTTCGTCATGTTCATTGTTTCTCAACTGTTTCCTTGTATCCTGACCTGTCAACAATGTTCTGTCAATCTGTTTCCCCCAAATCAGTGGCAATGACAGTCAGAGCAGGATGTTCTTCAGACGCTTTGTTGACGACAAATCAAGCGCGTAGTTTGTAAAATATCGTATAATT